TACGTGTTTGTGAAATACTTTATTACTGAACAATTAATTATATTCAGTAGAAACCCAATGATATGCAGACACTTTTCGTATATAAAATATGCAAAGTTGACGAACGATATTCTTTCTCAGATGTTAAAGATCCTCGGTATGTTGTGTCCATTGGTCTTTTTTAAAAAAAAGTCAATCAAACTTTCGTCATACTTGTCAAATTTTTCGTCAGACAGTATCGAAAATGTCGGAGCTTTTCTTACTTTTTATTCGACCCTCTTTCCAATAATTTTCGCTGGCTCGGTGCACAATAAGAAGATAAACAAGCAGTTAGAAGAGGCACAGGGAGGCGGTGAACAGTTGTCACCAAGAGCATGCATGAATGGGGATATTTTTCGCAAGCCACAGAAATGAGACGAACGGTCATTGGAAGCAACCAATTGTCCGATCGTTTCGCAGTGTTATTTTTATAATTCACCTCGATCATTCTGCGGTGGCTCTCGTGGCAGAACGTAGTGTTGTTTTTATTGGCCGCATTTAGGGAACGGGGATAGCGGAGGACGGTAAACAGGAAAGGGATCGAGCGAGAAAAAGGCGGCCACGACACTGAAAGAGGGGAGAATCGGTGGGAACGGGGTGTTGTTTCATCCCTCCTGGCAGCGCCCGTCTATTCTATCCAGTGGCACCTACGTTCTGGTGCCTAAACCAAGTTAGAGGTAGGATGGTACGAGTTCTAGGGGTGGATAGACACGATTCGTAGAGGGTGAAAAGAGGAAGGACGGTGTCGCGGCGAAGGGAAGAGAAACGCGAAAAGCACCCGCGACTACCACGGTTGACAATGCCACAATCATCCAATGTTATTTTAGTACGAATTCCTTCTTCCCATTCTATCCCTGCCTCCTCTTATTTTGCTCTTTCTCTCTCGTTTCTTCTCTATTTCCCGCCTCTCAGTTTTCTCTTCTCTTTTTCTTACTTTTTTCTTCATTCAGTCTCCTATTTTCAACGGGGTGGAACCCGTTCGTCTGTTTCTATCTTGAATGCGTCGGGATCAAGCCATTTTGCTAGCTGCGAAGAAAAATATCTCTCGGCTTTTACTCGCAATTATTACTTGGTCGGGTTTTACTTTTTTTTATAGGTAAGCATAAGACCTGTTATTGTCGTCCGTATTGATATCTCACGGCGTGTCGATTAAGTTTTAAAATCGGTAATAACGATGATAATAACAATAAAGCTGGAAAGTAAATTTTGATTCGTGCAATTTCGTCATTTCTTTTTTCATTTTTTCCACAAAACTATGAACTCACGATCTCGAAAATTAGGCGTCACTCTTCCGGATTGAAAGTAGGCTTCTTTGTGTTTGAAATATACCCCAGGATCCTGAACGAGTGGCATCTGTAATAACAAAGTCCGTTCTTGCAGCTCTCCCTATATTCTTGCTACGTGAACGCTACGCGAGACGGATTTCTGGAAGCCCGTTCTGATTAATCACATTTACGCAGGAGCGTAATCCAAGAGGAAGATCATTACTGATAATAATTTCATAGACAGGAATTAATTTTCTTCTCGAAAAACTGAAATTGAAAAAAACTTGTTGCTAATGGGTATGTGATTATTTTGATATTTTTGTATACCTACGAAATGTATGAATGAATTGGACACCGTGTAGTAAAAGAAACTGAATGAACCAAGTTGTACACTAGCCATAATCCGTGACGTTATTTGCTTATCATAGCAAACCTAACACAACATGGTTTGTTATTTAACAAATCAATTCATTCCATCCTCCTTTTAAGCGTAAGTATCATTCCATCTTTGTCTCTTCTTCTCATGTTTATTTCTAAACCGTTTTTCAGGTTGGTTAAAGCATTTAATTCGGTGTATTTATTTATGGAAGAAACATCAACTAAGCATTATCGGCATGAATTTGCAAAGAAAGAAAGTGGTTTGAAGTAGTTGTAAGTAGTTTATAATTGTACATATTACGTTTAAATATCTAATAGAGCTTCTTGAGAGGAAGAAATCTACTGTCTTTTCTGTGTTATACATATTTTCTTTTAGTATAAAATACTAATTTGATATTTGTACATATGTCATAAAATGCAAAGTCGACGATTGACAATGTCTTCACGTATGTATCTTTCTTATATTCTGTACTGAAATGCATCTGAATAGAAAGAGAAGAAGAGAGGAATGCTCTGTCGCCACCTTCTTAAAGCCAAAGAAAATATTGTTTCACGTAAATATATGTTTGTGATGAATCACTTTTATCTTTTCCTTTTCACACCTTTTAAGTGATAGAGCTGTAACTGTGGTGATAGAGCACTTTGTCATTAAGAATTTCGTCAGTTGCAATTGCACAAGTATGACGTACATAAGTATCAATAAATTAATCAAGATTTTATGATTATTATTATATTATATAATTATACAATTAAATTTTAATAGTAATAACATTGTTTAAAAAATATGTTTTTATTGCAAATTTCTATCAAATAAATAGGATATCAAAAAGAATTAAGGAAAAACATTTGTTAATAAAACAAATTTCTTTTTCATTACGACAATATTAAACGTCATACAGGGTGCAATTACATTGTTCTTTATCTTTGTACAAAGATACGTTTGTATTGTGATCTTTACAAAACATGGATGAGAAATCCTATACTTTAGAAGCCTGAAGAAGTTGTTTGAAGAAACAGCTTCTCATTACCAAAGAGATAAAAAGACAAAAAATTTGCGAACAAAAGATTCATGAAATTATAAATGGCAGAAGTACTTAAATTTTATAATCAACTAAACGAGAACAGTTAAAAATTAATTTTACTTTTTACTTTTTGGACAACTTTGTTCTTTCGTTGCACGTGTTTGCAGTAAAATCTGAAAATAATTACTATATAACTAAAATTATCAGAATGTTCGCGATATCATGGGGTCATATACTTCAAAAAGTATGAACGAATAAACGAAGAAGTGATCCATTAGGTAGGAAGCCCCGGCTGACACACCCTGACGCTATCAAAACACGCCTTAAAACTTATATTCCCGCGTAACGGCATAGTAGTGGTGGAAAAACTGCGTACGTGAGATAAAATAACAGAGTGTAGTTAACAGGCTTGGGTAAAAATATTCAGCCAGCTTCCACCATTCTCCCTTTCCTCTCTTTCTCTTTTTCTCTTTCATGCCCCCTTCCTCCTTTCTATTTTCCTCTTCTCTCACCTTTGACTCTTTTACACTGTGTGATTACAATGAATTGTTTTACGTATTATTTATTTCATAAATAAAATTCTACAAAATTTTACACTGTTTCTAATGCAACTTTGTATCATATATTTTCAAGAATATTACAATTTTTAATGCACCCATCATTGAATATGTACTGTTGTCTCTAGCTTCCGTCATTCTATATTTAAATTTTATAATATGTAAAAATGTACCGTATTCAGTAATTACATTATGATATTCTCCTACAATAATCAACTTTTTATTTCAAGTTTAAATAATTTTACATAAGAACTTTGATATTATGATTCTATAATGATTATGAAGAATTAAATATCCAATATAATTGATATAAGCGCCATACGACGTGTGTTGGTTAAAACTTTTTACAAATATTTTATATATATATTATCAATTATTGATATATTATCGACTTGGAACTTCGTTATCGACACAGATGAAGTATATGAAAAATTAATGTAAAAAATTGAATGGCAAACTTTTGTAACTGAATTTTCTTAATTAAATCCCCAGCCTTCTTTGTATATTCCATTTGAAACATAAAATTTTTTAAAAATAATTGGTACTACTAACTTACCGGTAGAGTTGAGCTCAAAATGTGACAGTTGCACTAATTGTGAGATAATGCTAATCAAGAGGAATAATTTGTTAACTTTTGATCCGTTTAGGACACTTAGCTTTTATTTTATGTTCTACTTACACTTCAGAATGTATTGAATGCTGAGTAGATCAAAAGTCCTTTACAAGTAATGTTGAATTTCTTGCAAACAACATTAAATATTGGAATTAAAATTTTTGTAAACATCTTCTTCGAAATATATATGTAATAAATGCAGATTGTTTGTGTAAATCATAAAATTAATTTTTTTTTTTTAAATATGAATATAAAGATTTTAGTTCCTTTATTTCGCCACAACGCGGCGCTAGTATTTTTCGCCTCGGAAAACAGGTAAATTTTCATTTGCAAAAAAATTAATTTAGAAAATTAAATTGGAAACTTTTGTGATTGCATCTTCTTAATTGGATCCGTAACTTCTTTTCTATATCTCTTTTGAAGCATAAAATGTGCAAATAAAAATTAAAAAAACATTAGTACTTGCAACTTACCGATAGTCACTATGTTTAACTCTGTAGCGACCTCTACTACGATGAATTTAGATCAATGCCATCTATATTTATTAAATCGTTCCGTCGAGATGTGTACTTAATATAAACAATAGAATATTTAAAAATTGTTAGTAATTTAATTATCATTATGGAATTGTTTACAGACACTTATATGTATTGTAACCATAGTAGAAATTCTTCATTCGTTATTTAACTTTCGTTATTTGATATTCATCATTAATTATTATATATTTGTTACAATTATAATATTTTTATATAAACTATCAAAATTATATACGAAGTTATTATTATTTAAATTTGTAGTACTATGATTGAGAATAATTATCAACATAGTCACTACAATCCGAGACAATTTGCATTAATTTTGAAAAAAATAAAAAACTAATGAAATAACGTTAATCAACAGGTATATGAACCTCGTCTGTGCTCAAAGTTATGCTAGAAAAAATAAGAATACCCTGTATAAATATTTATAAATTCGAAAATGGTTCGAAAATGGCATTGTTTCGAATAACAAGTACATTCAATGTAAATACATCCAAATCTATTTTTACATCAATAGAACATCATATTTAAATTTAATTAAGTAAAGCTTACTAAAAATTCAAATATTCGGTTGTACTTTTTTACGATATTGTGCGATATTGCAATTTTATATTGTAATATTGCGAAACTATGTATATATAATAGCTTCTATAATTTCAGTTAATAAATACCTTTATAACTATTAAAATAAACTGTATAAGTTGGCCGCTTATTTGTTGTATTATATTATTATATTGGAGTTTTGCCAGTGTAATTACTATGTAAGTCATAACGACGATATCAATGGGTTTCTACATGCGGTTTGAAATTGCATGATACAAACATGCAAAATTCCATAATATATCTGGAACGACAGTGTGTCGTTTCGCAGAAACTTTTCGGATATGTGTACAAACACAATTTAAAGAAGAAACACGGTGTTTTGAACTTCATTTCTAGAAATATTAGTTTTAATAACCAATCGAATAGGTTATGTTTCCCATTATTATGTCGTGTAAGTATTTCAATAATTAAATATTATGGTGATTGCATGGTATAATTCTAAGAAAGTTTGTTTCAGCCACATGGGATAAAACACAAGTGTTTAACTGGAACGAAATTATCACTCTCGAAGCATGAGCTTTGCAGAATTTATCTTTCAAAATTGTGCAATGCGAGAGGTTTTAGCACAACCTCAAGTAATCGTCAACATACTTCTGACCAGCCCAGAGATTCTGATAAGAATCCTAAAAAACCTGAGTTTGAAATACTGATGTTTAAATTAGGATTATTGTTGACAACAATCATTTTCTATTATTATTTTCTAACTGTCAGAGAACAAGTAAGTTTATCAACCAATGATTATCAGTTGAAAGACATTTAATTGTTGAACTGTTATTACTTTATGTCAGTTAGAAAATGTGGAGTGGAATGATTTTGTAAACGAACTGCTTTTAAAAGGACAAGTTAAAGAAATTAAGATTTATCCAGGTGAAGTGAAAGCTACATTGAGAAGGGGCGCTACATATAAAGGAATGCACGTATTTGGGGACATAACTATTGTTCATATGTCTAACATCAAAAATGTTGAAGAAAACGTTAGGACGATAGAAAAACATATTGGCATTAGGCTAGGTATGATTATTAAATATATTTATTAAATATAATTACTCCTTTTATTTATTGAAATTCATTAAATAATTTTTAGAGGATGGAATTTCGATTAGATATATGAATGTGAATAATCAAATGGCTCTAACAGAATTGTTCATCGTGTTACTATGTATTGCGTTCTTTGTTGCACTTTTGCGTAATCCAAAGTTCAAAAATACATTCAACTTTTCTTTTATGAATAAGGCAAAATATACATTAGTGGAACCTTTTTCTGGTAAAGGTGTCCGTTTTAAAGATGTTGCTGGTTTAAAAGAAGCTAAAATAGAAGTTATGGAATTTGTTGATTATCTTAAAAATCCTGAAAGATATACAAAGCTTGGTGCTAAAGTACCAAAAGGTACCAAAGTTTTACAGTTGAAATGTTTATAACTTTTTGTAAGTACCTTTCTCTGCAATTCATATAGTTTGTTTCTAGGAGCTTTACTCTTAGGACCGCCTGGTTGTGGTAAAACACTCTTAGCTAAAGCTGTTGCAACTGAGTCCAATGTTCCATTTCTATCGATGAATGGATCTGAATTCACTGAAGTAGTAGGTGGATTAGGTGCTGCACGTGTAAGGGATTTATTTGCAGAGGCTAAAAAGAAGTTCAGTTAATTCTTTTCTTATTTTGATATAATATAAAATAACGCTGTTATTAATATATTTAAACTTATTTTATGTTATGTTTAAAGAGCGCCTAGCATTATTTATATAGATGAAATTGATGCAATAGGCAAGAAACGAGCAGACTCGTATGTTGAATTCAGCAACAGTGAATCTGAGAGAACATTGAATCAACTTTTAGTAGAAATGGATGGAATGATAGAGGCAAAGGATATTATTATTTTAGCCTCAACAAATAGAGCGGATGTTCTAGATAAAGCTTTATTGAGATGTGGTAGATTCGATAGACATATTTTGATTGATTTTCCTACTTTAGAAGAAAGAAAAGACATTTTTGAATATCATCTTCAGTCATTATCATTGGAAGGCATCCCGAAACAATATGGAAAATATTTAGCTCATCTTACTCCAGGTTTTAGTGGTATGTATGTAATTCTTAATATTGAATTATTTGAATTTTTCTTTTTTTTTTTTAATACTTTTGTTCTGAACAATATTTTTAAAGGAGCAGAAATAGCAAATGTTTGTAATGAGGCTGCATTACATGCAGCAAGTGAGAAAAAGATTAAAATCGATAACAATGATCTCATGTACGCAGTCGATAAAGTATTAGGTGGTACAGTAAAAAAATCTAGTACATTAACACTTTCCGAGAAAGAAGTTATTGTTTATCATGAAGCTGGTCACGCAGTAGCAGCATGGATGTTGGAACATGCAAATCCTTTAATTAAAATAACAGTAGTGCCAAGAACAAATAAACGTTTAGGTTTTTCTCAGTATTCTGATTCAAACCTAAAACTTTTAAATTCGAAACATATTTTTGAACGTATGTGTGTACTATTAGCTGGTAGAGTTGCAGAAAATATAATGTTTAACAAAATTTCAACTGGTGCGCAAAATGACTTACAAAAGGTAACTGAAATGGCATATCTCCAAGTTCAACAATTTGGAATGAGTCCTTCTGTGGGTTTAATTTCTTTTGATAAAGAACTAACAAGTACGGTAAGATATAAATATATTTATAATTTACGAATTGGTAGTAGGTCGCTGATTTATAACTTTAATTTAATTTATCAATTAGAAAACTAAAAAACCATATAGCAAGAAACTAGGAAATTTAATGGATGCAGAAGTGCGAAGGATAATTGTTGAAGCATATAAAACAACTGAAAAGTTATTACAAGATAATAAAGATAAATTGATAACTGTATGTATGATTATTACATATATAACATCTAAGAAATTCAAAATTTCTGAAACAGTATTTCAATAATTCCCAAATGTTACAGTTTTATTTCAATTGTGATCTGTTTGATGAATGTTTAATATTAATTTATTACAACGTAGGAATTATATACTATTTCTTTATATATCTAATAAATTTCTTTCTCTGAATTTATAGTTGGCTGAAGCACTTCTAAAAAAAGAAACCTTGACATATAAGGAAATAGAAGTATTAATCGGACCTCCTCCTTTTGGGAAGAAAGATATTGTAGAATTGCAAGAATATAATTCAGGTATAGAATAAATAAACATATAATGATAATATAAATATAGCACATTTTGCAAAATATCTGTATAGTACTAATGACAGTAAAACAAAGTACTTTTATTGTAAATTTTATTATATCAATTTCTGTAATAACAATTCATTTGTGTAACATAATGTAATATTTAACTTTATAAAGAATAAAATAATAAAAAAGAAACATGGAAAATTTACGATAAATTACATTATCAACTTTTAATATAAAAGATTTTTTTTAATATCATCTTGTTATCTATAGGAAAACATTATTATACTATAACATAACTATATTAGATACGACTTATGCCATTAGCAAACAAAGAATAGTGCCATTATTTAAATATCAAATATTTAGAAATTGAATATAAAAAAAGAATAGATATTTAAAGAAATGAATACGAGGGAAATACTTTTATTATGTTTTCACCGTTTACATGATTTTTTATAAATAATAAAAGCAAATATGAAATGTATGTATGTATGCATGTAAAATATTTTCACAAATATATTAAACAAAAGTCAAACATTCAGATTTATTTATAGATTATCAGTAACAAAAAATAGTTTTTCTACAAAAATAATAAAAGAGAAGAAAAAATAACTTTTTAAGATTATATACATTTTTAAGAATGTCAAAATACTTCTTAAAATATATGCAGTAAACTAAACGTATTTTTGTTTCTAATTCCACATTATAGGAACAGTTATTGACTCATAAATAAAGACACTTTTGATTTATGCTTTCAAAGTCTGAGTACTGCTTTAAACACTATATCACAAGTGATTATAATTAAAAGTCACATATGATAAATAAGATCCTTAATAACACCATTAAGTGCACGTTCTAAATGTGTTCCATTCCAATATATTTTTCCACAATGTTCACAAACATAAAAATTTTGTATGTTTTGTAGTATCTTTATTGGTACTTTATCAATTTGTATTCTTGTTTTATATTTCGTTAAACATGTATCAACATTTATAGACTTTGTACTAAGTATCCATGTACGATCGTCACGCTGTAACTCATTTACACGAGTATCATGTTGTAAATCATTACTTGAATTTGTTGCTACATTTGAGTGATATGTACTGTCTACACAATCAGATGAATTTGAAGTAATATTACCATAATTATTTTTACGTGTTATTTTGACATAGCTGAAAAATTATAAAAGTTTGTTAACATTATTATTAATATTTAATGTACAGTTTAAAAAAAAATATATATCTAATGAAAAGTTTATCCATTAATAATTTTCGAACTTTTGCGAATTCGTCACTATTACAGTCCTGGCATCGACTAAATATGTCTCTTTCTGTAACTCTAATTTTAAAGTAGTTTAATACCTCCCGTACTGATCATTGGGAGTATCTTTCAATACTAGATAACAATTCTTCAGATGGAATATATTGTAAAAACTAAACAATATAATTAAAATAATTAATAAGTGATAATATTATTTAAATATCATTTAAAACTATTAATTAAGACCTACTCTTAAATATCCTTTATTACGAGTCAAAAATACTCTTCTTTCGCGCATTGCTAGTTGAGCAGATCGTTCTCCTTCCTGATCAAATGTAAAATGAGCACAATCGCATCCACACATTCGCAATTTGTTTGTCAATCCTCCTAACATTGAATCACAAACTACACGCCACTGATGCGCTGGTATAAATTTATATTTAACTACTTGAGAATTTTTTTGTGTTTGACTTTCATAATTTGCTTGTTTTACATTTTTTGGTATATTTGCGTAATGTAATTTATTGAAATCCATGGACCTTGGTTTGTCAAAAGATTGATAAATTTGATAATTTGATTTCTGAGAATTATATCTTATTCCTCCTTGTTCCGAAAATCTTTGAAAATTTTGTTGTTTATCATAACTGATATTCTTTTTAACGGAATGGTGCTGTAATGAAATATTTAGAACTCTAAAGAATAAATAAATTATTTATTAAACAAAAGCTTACCTTTTGTGCAGGCTTTTTTATATTTTTTTCTGGGGATTGATGGGATATGTTGCACTTCCAAACACACATCATGAAATGGTATGCCCAAATGTTCACACTGAATTTCCAATGCTGTATATATTTCTAGTAAACAATATGCATCTAACGCTGTAAGATAATTGGTATATAATTATTGCATTTTACTGTTCTGCGTATATATATATACATATTATAAAAAAAGAATAGTAATATACTATAAAAATGGTAGTAATCACAAACCAGCATATATTATTTGACTTTCTCTTAATGGTCTTTGCTCCCAATTAGAAAATTGATCAGATTTATTTAGCTTTCGTCCAAGACAAAGCTCTACAAGTTTACTCAAATTTTTTTTAGCGAAGTGTTGATTACTTTCATGTGGAAAAACAAATTTATAATCTTCCACCAATTTTTTCCATAAATTTACAATATCTAGATAACCTTGTCCGTGTGTTTTTACTTTTGATAATACAGCCAAACTATTGCATGTAACTGTCATATCTTGTGCTATTCCAAATCCTGGAATATACACGAATAAAAATAATATACAGAATAAAAATTCATTAATTAAAAGAACTTTACCGAGTTTTAAAATATTCTTGTTTTCAAAGAGGTTTGAAGCTAATTCAGCCCATAATTCTGCTAGTTTATTTCCCATTGTAGTTACATCTAAGATGTATACATTAACTTTGGTAGCTATTTGTATTAAAGCTAATTCTGTTTGTTTTGTACCTAATAATTATAATAAATTGTATAATTATTTTTTATTGAATTATTGATATTAAAAGAGAATTATTAAATCAAAATATTACCAAAACATGGTTTCCATTCTGAATCAATACCAACCATACAGACATTTACTAATCCATTGTCAAGAAACTCTTTAAAACTATCAAAATCATTTACTACTTTAATAGAATCTCTTGATAATTTTAATTCATGATAATTTACAAGACCATTGTCAATTTCCCAATCATTTATCTTGCTAGTTGAAGCGCCTTCATTTACAGCTGCACAATAAAATTGTATAAATAATTGAAATAATATTAAAAAGAGTCATTACCTTCATATTCATTTTGTTCCTTTCCTTCATGTAAGATTGCCCATGGCCATTTTTCTCGAGGAACATCAAATTTTTTAGCCCAGTATAAAGCTTCAGCCGCGTCTTTGGCATCAATTATCATTCTTATTATAGCAAGTTGTAATGTATGATCATCTCCTACTGCATCTTGTACCATTTCTCTCCAACTAGCAATACCTTAATTTAGAAAAAATTGATATTTTTTTACATTGCTGTGTGGTTTATATTATTTAAGGCATCAACATACTTAAACTAGATTCCACATAACGTTTATGTACGAGGAATTGCAAAACACCTTTGCATCTTTTTTTATTTAAATTGGAACAGAGTTCTGGTGGAAGATTATATAATTTGATAAGGCGAGCTATTAATTTAGTCATTGGCTTAGTATTTATTATTGGCATCTTTACATCCGGTATGTTATTTTTTCTGTAATATATTAAAAACATCATTGTGTATAACATTCTTTCATTAATCAATTACTGAAACTTACTTAATTATTTCATTTAAAATGGCATGCATGCTATTATCAGGTGCAATTAGATTATCCAAATACAAGACTAAAGTTTTCTGCAAAATAGGACAATTGCCTAAAAACTCTTCAACAACTGTTAACTTATTTTGTAGAATAAGTGGTAGCAGTAAAGTTTCTGGATTTGGAAAATGATCTTGCAATTGCAATATAACTGCATACTGTGCTGCTTCTTTGTATTTTTTTTCTTTAATGATTTCCTATAAAAATGTAGATTTTATTACACAACAATTTAAAAGCAGAGTATTGAAATGTCTATACTGTAATATTAAATAATACCCTTATTATGTTAAAAAATTCCTCTTTGTGATCTATGAATTCATACGTAGTTGCAACCATTTTAACAAATTCAATGTTATTTTGTTGAATGACTAATCGAAATGTTGCTAATTTTAAATTTAGATCTAAGAAATGTTTGTATATCGAGTTCTTTGATTTTAACCAGTTTGCAAATTCTTCTATGACTGTAATCCATAAAAATAGATTATTATCTTTAGTATCAGAGTATCTTTATAATAATTTGTACAACAGCATCTGTATAAAAATATCATTAACATAAAAGCTGTGTACTTGAAAGATTTTAATATTATCTTGCTAATAATAATCGAATTTATATATTTAAATATACTGAATAAATATAATTCAATTACATTTTTTCATGTATGTTATGTATTATTTATAAACTACAAGTATTATTTATAAACTAAACCTGTAAATGCCAACGATGAACTCCTTTTTATATGTTTAAAGTCTGAAGTATTCACTAATAACCGGATTGTGCTTAAATAAGGCTCAGGTGCACTTTCGAAATATTCAATCAGTGTGTTGTTTACAATATCACCCTTTTTCCCTAGTAAAAACTCGTAATTAATAATTAGTCAAAAGATATTGTGAAGATAAATAAACAATTACTAACAATTTTATTGTATAATACAATAGACACTTACATATTTGCCATATTTGTTCCAAAGATTTGAGCCATTCTTTTGTAGCTTCGTCAATACTTGAGAAGAATGTTAGATTGTTCTCATTTTTCATATATGAAAGATTCGTAAATGATAGACCATCATTTCTTTCAAATTCGCTTGACATTGCTCGTACTGTTATATATTAACAATATATCGACGAAAGTAACAAGACTAAAGCGTTCAAAGTAAGCTAAAAAAAATAATTGAATCGATACGTTTTGTTACTGTTTTGCATGGAGTATCTTTTATTGTCATATGTTTCTTCAATTACAATTTGACAGAAAGAATCTTATCCGGTAAAATAGTTTAGTATAAAGGGGAAAGACACGTTTCTCAACTTTTCAATAGTTACATATAACGTAAAACGAAATGATAACGTTAAAATTCCCTACAGTATAGTCCAATGTGTCCTTTCGAACAGATTTTAATGTAATTATTTCTCCTGTATTTTTTAAATGTCTTTTCTGCAATTCGAACTAGATTTAGCTTTTTATCATTAAATTATAAATAATACATGAAACAGTCTCGTAAGTATTTCCTCTGTTAAGACAACTATTATAAAGAATCTAAAATTCATTGTTTTGGAACACACGATTGATGTCATCTTTATTTTGTTTATGATTAATCATCCTTTATTATATTACTGAAGTTCACGCGAGAGATTGTAATGATATGTAATAAAAAATTCGTATCCTCTAAGGAGTTGAATTTCGAATTGAATTTCATTGAGATTGTAGCTTATTTGTTCACTGACTGTTTCGAGTATGATGAAATGTAACCTGCCGAAAAATTGGGTTGTACGAAGTTCAAAATCACGTCCTGATAGAATATATTATTTTAATGTCAAAACAAACCAATCATCTTGGGAGATGCCGACGAATGGTCGAACAGAACAAGTATTGTATTTTTTTTTTTTCATTGAATCAATATCAATATTAGTAGGAATGAGGTTAATGGTATTTCATTAACATTTGAATTGCAATGCTTAGTCTCTTTATTTATTTTAATCTTTATTATTTACTAATGTGCATTTATAATTCATAATTTTCTAAATAATAATTATAATAATTAAAATAGATAGTAAAATTTGCCAGAAACAAAATAGTTAAAAAAAATATTGTTTAGGTTGAAAAGAAATTAGTCCAGTCTCCTAAAAAACATAAACAGTCATATAATATGAAATCACAAAAGGATAACGATAATCAAGTAAAGTCAATTGCTTCAGAGCATACTGTGTCTGGAAAAGAAACTTCAGAAAGGGAAATACTTGTTGCTAAGTGTAAACAAATGCAAAACAAAGTCAATGAGGGAAAAGAAACGCCACAGATGAAAGCAATTCGTGAAAAGATACTGAAGAGAAAAGAAGAAATTGCTCTCAAAGTTTCTAAGAGTCCTAAATCAACTAAGGATGTTTCAAGATCTTCATCTTCAACACTTAATAAAACTAATCCGTTAGTGCAAAAAGCTAATAGTCACACAGATTCTAGAAAATCTTGTACACCCCAAATGCAGATATTGTTAGAAAAAATGCAGGAAAGGATACCAAAAAGTCCTATAATAAAAAAAACAGAGGAAGATAGAAGCAATAATCAAGGGAAGTCAATTAAAACACGATTAAGAAATCAAACTGTATCCAAGCAAAAAGCTGTTTCTTCGGGTAACACAAGTCAGAAAGAAGTACAAAAGAGTCCAAAAGGTTAGTACATTAAAGAAATTTTGCAATTTTTCTTATTTATATAATTGGAAAATTGACTAACATAGGTTATATGGTAATAGAAAAAAATTTTGCAGGCAAAAGGAAGAATGAACATGATCCTGTTGAAGTTATTCTTGGAGTGCGAAAACAAAAATCTATGAAGAAAAATTTAGCAAAAGATCGTATGGAAAGACTGAGAGAAAACCTAAAAATAATATGTGATGATGATAATTTAAATAATAATATTTTTACAAACGATACACGTGAGTATTATATCACTATTACAATACTATTACAAACTACAATTTATCCTTTAATTTTTTGAATAATTATAGCTATGCCATGCATTTACAAAAATGCAGAAGTTAGATTGGTGCGTTTGAAGGAGCGACTTGCAAATAATAAGATTTCCACTAATAAAAATGTATGTACTGATAAACTAGAGGAAACAACAAAAGTATTGACAGATCCAGTAACAACTGTAGATGATTTAATAAAGCGGGCCAATGATGATTCTTTGTATGAAGAAATGGATTGGGAACCATTGGAAGATGAAAAAATTACGTTTGAGGTGATGTCAAGTATTATTATGTATACTTTCTTTTACTGATCATATGTAGATGACTATAATAAATAATAGATATACAAATATTAATGAGATATGACATACTTATATTATTTAGGTTCAAGCTGTTAGAACAAGACTTTGTACAGAAAACAATATGAATATATCCTGCAACGTACCTAGTACTAGTTTGAAATATCCTTTGTTATCAGAACAACAAGAAAAAAAGCACTTGTACATTGTTGTTGATACAAACGTATTTTTATCAAATATTGATGCTGTTGAATTGGCAAGAGAAACTATTTTTAAAACTTATGATCATTCGATAATTCTAGTACCATGGACTGTTATACGTGTAAGTTTCTATATCTTTCATTTATTTTACTACTTACTTGTAACATTCACAAATGTTTTGTTACAGGAACTTGATTATATTAAGGATGATAATGGCAAATCAAAATCAAAATCATTATGTTACAAAGCCAGAAAAGCTATAAATTATATCAATAAACTTTTCTCTTCTAAAAAATCATACATAATTGGTCAAACACCAGAAGATGTTACAAAAAATAAAGAAAAATTTTCTGTTGATTGCCCAGATGATGAAATTCTACAGGCTTGTTTACAAATTCGTGATTTAGGAAAGTCAGCGGTAAGTTATGTATAATATACTTTTATTAAAACTAGAATTTAAATATGACTCTAAATTTTCGTTCCTTATTATGCAGGTTTTATTATCATATGATGTCAATCTTTGCAATAAAGCAATGATTCATGATATTGTAACGCTTGGAAGAAATGATCCCATTGAAAAAATCGACTATCTTAATGCCACTAATATGAATCAATCATTGTCTGTTTCTAATGATGAAGATCAAGAAAGGTTCAGTCTAAGTTCAACAATTTTATCTGAGGAATTACAATTGTCAAATGAAATATATGAGGACATAAAAAGTGTTATAAGAGACTTTTTAACAGTGGTAAGCATAAACAAGATATATGTTGATATAAGTACATAATATAAGAAAGATATATACGTGAGAATTGATGGCCATTTTTTACAGATAGTTAGTAAAGAAATGGGTGCATTATATGGAGCATCTTGGGAAAAATATGTTATTCTAAAACCACCTTGGACAGTTGAGACTGTTTTACAGTGTGCTGTAAAACATTGGATAGCTGCTGTAAGTGAATCATTTAGGCGAGAAGCAGAAGTTATTTTGAAAGAATTGTTGCAGATATTTAAAGATAGATCTGGTAATTTTGTTAATTTTATTTTAGCAAGAAGCAGTTTTTTTTTTTTTGATAATTATTATTAATGTTCAAACATCCTTCTTTTTTCAGATCAAAAAACTTTGAAGGAAGATAGTTATATTTTAGATAAGTGTAATGATTTGGTACAAATGGTTAACATAGATAAATATAAAGATTTAGTATTACGAATTTCTCAAAAAATTAATGTAATTGTTCTCATAATTTTTTCTATTGATATTACGTTAAAATATTGAAATAATTTGTATTTATGATGCTATTATTTTCTAGGAGTTAAAAGACAAATGTCGTGGATATGAATGTCAAATAAATGATTACAAATTATGCAATGCAATTGGAGTTGAAAACAATATTGAGGGACAAGAACATAGGGCACAAAAAGCTTTTCAGTATTTTGAAGCAGCATATATCTTTGCTCGCGATATGGCGTAAGTTTCATGATTAATTTGTTCATCAATTTTGTGTTATTAATATCTGTTTATTTATGTTATTAAACAGTGGTATGGCAGCTGAAGCGATGGGGATGCCTTGTAGTTTTCACTACAACATTCCTAATCCAATTCCGAATATGTGCTTTGTAAAACAAATACAACCGGAACTAGCAACGAACGTGAATCAATTATTATGCAGTCTAAGCGCGTAAGTTGTTTATTATTGAATTATTTAATAACTATTTTATATGTTATAGTCTAACAGCCATATTTTATTGCAGTGTCATAGAACAAGTTAGAAATTCTAATGTGGACTATCGAACATTGATAAATTTACATCAGATACTAATAACGTTTCTACCTGAAACTGCACCAATGACACTGAAATTAATTGATATCGATATAGAGCCTCTTGATGTATATTGTTGCGTAAAGCGAAAGGAAGATGTACTGAATAGAGGTTTACGTCAGCTCCAGGAACTTAATACCCATTTTTGCAGACTAGCAAGCTGTCAGTGTACATAAATAGATATATATATACACATACATATATATATATATATACATATGTATCTAACATATAGATGTATATTGACCAAAATCCTTTTGAATTTAGTTACATACATTTTTTATAATGTTCAATAATACTTGAGATATTATATGCAACATAATCGTAATGTTATTTGTATGATGATATTTTTTTTTACAGAAAGTATTAACATCTTAAATATTTTTATTAACGATTCTGTATAATACAAGAAATAACTTTTGGAAAATGTGAAAAATAAAAATGCATAGCCAGAATAATAATAAGTATTGAATAATGTTCCCTGGCAATCTTTAGTAAAATAATTTAACAATGCTCTAGCGATCGAGCATTACCTTTGTAAAAAGGTAACTAATTTCTGTATAGTTTTGGAAATCCTTCTAAAGGTGGTTGTAACCAGTTTTCTTTCGAATAAGAGGTATGCTGCGTTTCGATTACATGAAATGTGTAAGCATGCCTCGATTTGTCGTTTTTATTTGGGTATGAGAAATGTACCACTTGTCCATGGATGAGAATGCAGGTTCCTTTACTAACTGGTACTGGTCGAAAATTACTAAGTTGATAACAAGGTGCAGCTCTGTCGTAGATCAACAGTTCCTTGGAATCTGGATCTTTGTTTCTTACGTAACGCCGATGAACGCCACTTTTATGAGAACCTGGCGCGATCCATAGGCATCCATTTTCTTGAGTAGCGTCTTCCAAAGCGATCCAGAAACCAATTAGCTTCACTGGGTCGGTGTACAAATATGTTGCATCTTGGTGCATCATTACTATTACAAAATCGATTTACATTCAATTAGCGCAGAATAAATTAATTTATTTAACGCTACGCTATTTTTAAGTTTACAATAAGTTAATTCATTTCTTTTTACCTTCTGATCCGATTCCCGGATTTTTGTAAATATACATCGATTGACAAACGGCCGGTTCCTCATAATCCAATTGGAAAGCTGTTTCTTTAACTCTTTCATCGAAAGTATACTTCTTGAATGTAGGGTGAAGCCAATGAAGGGCGTGACCTACCTATAATTTTATCAAGGAGAACACTTGATATTTATATAATATAATTGCTGTCGATGGTTATTTTTTTTTTCTTTACTCCAGATTAATGGTTTTTATTTTACCTTATTTAACGACACTCGAGGATGAACTTTCAACTTTTCATCGTTGTCTAAAGCTTCAGCCTCGAAGAACACACTGATCTTGTTAGCACTGTTCAGGAAATATTTATCTTTGCTCTGTGAAATACAATAAATAATTTTAAAATATAAACATCACGTATTCGCCATAAATAAGATATTTTCTTAATAATTCGGTATGCACCTGTTGCGATTCTATTGAATTGAAAACTTTTCTCTCACTTTCCGGAGGTAAGTTCTTGGTAAATTCCTCTCCGCAAAATTTCAATTCGTCGATTTCTTCCGGTTGAAAGAAATCTTCCAGCACGACGAAGCCATTTCTCTCGAACTGTAAGCATCAAAATATTATGTTAATTTATGTTAATCATTCGTATTTCGAAAGGATGTTATCAATACTTTATATTTATGTAAATGAATTCACTTTCTATATCCTTCGAAAAGACACTACGGTTTGTTTGATTGAATACTACTGACATAATAATTTATGCAATCATAAATGTTGAATATAAACTCCTATGTACAGCTTGACTTGGCTCTAGTCTATGAAAGTGTTTTCAGAGATTTAATTATTCATTTTATTATTAAATTTATAGTACCTCTAGTTTGTGATTTTGAAATAGCAAAAATTGCAAGAAGAAAATGAGGAAGTTGAAAATTATGTTATTTCTATTGTTCTTAAATTTTATTTCTATTACTATCAAATTTTTCTCTAAATTATTTATTTCCTGGGCACAAACACATTTAAACATAAGCTTAAATTTAAGTACAGAATTAAAAGGATGATTGCAACGATTACGTGATTTCACACGTAATACCTTTTTCAAATATTTTCAAACCGCAGTCGCGAGTCTATAAAATCTCAGTTCCCTTATTTACTTAATTAATGCTCTAACTTCCAGTCCTTTCGTTTAAATTCTTTTTCACTCCTAACAATCCTTCTACGTAATTTATACAATCAGTCATTAAAATCGAACATTTTAAATAAACCCACCACGCCGAGAGAGAGCGTACAAATTCTTTTCGAAAATATAACTGTGTTTCCTAAATTTCGTTCTTCCTACAAAATTTCAATATCACGGATGAATCAGACGAATGAGTATGAATCGTCCGGCCCAGAATAGAAAGGCACGCACGTGGGTGTTCATTCTTCTTTCTGAATGGACACCGTGCAGCTTTTCGTATTTCAAAGTAAAGTACAGGTCTCGAGAGATTTCGTATTCGAAGTTTCTCTTTGTCGATCACACACTTTAATAATGAACAATTGGGGGCAGTGACGCACAATCCATGGCCTTTGTTTCCAAATTTTTGTCGCCCGCGAATCTCCCGTTCAATTTTCTTTTACACAATTTTTATACACTTGCATAGTAAAATAAATATAATCGGTTGGAAGTATGTTGAAACAGAGGAGAAGGCACTATTCTAATAAATATCTATATTTCCTATTTTTGTCATTTTTTTTTCTTTTTTCTTAGCAATTTATACGATAGCGAGGCAGAAAGGGAGAGATTTTTGCGGCCCGCATACATTATTGAATTAAGGCTGACAATAAAAACTAAAAGTTCGTTTCGAGCCACAGATCAACACATCGAACGCTTTATAGTGATAAATTATTATCGCTGATAGCGAGTTTTATTCACAATTAATCACTGTTTGTCCAAAAATATTCTGGTTGCATTGCCAATTGTCTCTTGCGATGTCGAATCTTTCTGACACATTTCGAATTTCACATGCCTCGTTATGTCACGCATATAAAAAGACTAGTTTAAATAAAGAGTTTGGTAAAATTCAGTTTGCGTAATATCGATGTACATTACAGTAATCGTATTGACCGCTCACGCAATACTATTTTCGATAGTAATTTTCACCTCGAGCGGCAATGTGATTTTTGTACATGATTTGTAAAAGGTAAGAAATACTAAATAAATATATGAATAAATGAACAATTCACTATAATAATGTAATATTATAATACAGTAACTCATCTGTTATATTCGTTACTATAAAGTTTCGTTTTTCGATGATCATTAATCGTTAAAAATCACACGATATCACCGGTTGTTTAAATGAAATATCAAAAATAATGGAAGTATGATAATGCGATAATGAGATATTGGAGATAAATAAATACATTACTGTGTATAAGTATTTGGACAATTCTTAATTATTGCAGTATAAAATACGATTCAAATGAATCTTAACATATATACTTAACAGATATCGATAAAAAGGGTAGCTAACAATTATAATGATTGCGTGGTAATCTGTACAGTGACTTTAAATATATCTTCATTGTTGAAATTTTTGAGAGAATGATTAAAATATATAAATTATATTTATATATTATATTTATTATATAAATATATATAATATATATTTAGTATGCAGTACCAGATTTGATGAACCATCATTTAGTAGAGATTAATACTACACCTGGCAAACAGTTTTCGATAAAACACAAAAACGAGTACTTAAAAAGCATTTAGAAATCTTTTAAATATAAAATATTTTTACACTTGTATGAAAATATATGAAAAACTAGAATTCTCCATGTCAATTGGATTCTTTTATTTCAATGGAACTGCAGCTGATTTTCAATTGTTTATGCACGGTAATGTGTTTGAAACTAACAACTCAATCATGGAATAATCAATATCTATTTCATGTTTCGATTTGAAAATTGTCACCAATTACCGTTGATCTGGAAACTGGATTAAAAATTCTATTTTCGAGAAAAAAAGGGTCACTTGCGGTCGTGAACTCGTTTTCGAGTCTTTAAATAAAAATAACGTGCGTAAAATCATTAAATAACTTGATCATGGATTGATCAATGTTTATTTCATATTTCAGTTTGATCGAAAATTGAGTAAAAATTCGGTCTTCAAGGAACTGCTGTCAGTGGTCACGGTTTACGTGAAGCTGCGATGATTTTGCTTTCGAGTGCATCTTAGCGAGAGAACAGAAGGAAAGAGGGGATCGTAAAGCGTTTGAACGAGACGCTGCAGCGAGAGGAGAGGATTTTTAATGAAGAGATGTATGTAGAGCGCAGAACGAGCGTATTAATCTTCTGCTTTGTAGAAAGCGCGCGTCGCTTTAATTGCCCCTCGATGTTGAGTTGTAATTAGAAATGCGCCACGTGATGGGAATACGGGACGTTCGTGTTTTCACGCCGAACTTTTTTCACGCACCGATTGCGAAAATCGCGATCTTTCTCGATTTTCTTTTTTTCTCGATTCTTCAACGCCGTTTTTTTTTAATACACGTCTAATTAAATTACCATGTTTAGAGTTGTATCAAATTTTGTTGACATGTAACTTAGGTATAATAACATTATACCTAAGTTATAATAATATAATATATATATATATATTATATATATATAATATACATTATAATAATATAATATATATAAATATAAAATATATAATATAATAATATAATATATGTAATAAGATATATATATATATATATATATATATATATATATATAATATTATAATAATATAATATAATGACATTATATTACAATTATTGTTTCATATACTTTTGAAGAATTGTTTTCGGTTTTTTGGAAGATTTACTTTTCGTAAATTAATGTCTCAACAAATGTTTAACAGTTTTTTAACTTTTTTACGATTTTAATACTACTATCATACACTTTCCTTGACTTCTTTTTTTCCTCTCTTTAACGTAAATGATTCGTAGCTAAATATTTAAATAACAAAAATTTTCTTCGTTCATTTATATTCTAATAAATAATTAAACGATCCTTCGTTCTCACAAAGGATCAAATTAACCATTTAAAGTGTTAATTAGACCATTTAACCCATCAACTAAACGATGGTTTATTATATCATGAATACACGAATATTTTGAATGTGAAATCGAAACTGCAAAATTGCGAAGAGATAGCGACGAATCTACACGGAGATCGTGGAAATTCCCTTTCATAGTTCCAGTATGGAACGAGGAAAATTGCAAATGATATGGGTTGGTCCTTAGTGGGTCAGTGAAAGAATAACGGCACGGATTAATTATTCGTGCAGTTATCAAAAAGATATTGTGTAAAAACTCTCGTAAACCGAGCGCAGTATCCCATTGAAGAAGTCAATTTTTTCTCTGTCTCATCGTTAGAGTCGCCAAGGTATTTCCGTTTCAAGAGAGATCGCGTGGGAGGTTCAAGAACGACGTTTCGTCGTCCAAGTACATGATAATGTGCGTTGGCCTCCCGTGGCCATCTAATCGTTACCTTAACCAGAATCTAAAAATGGATCTCCGGATCACAGAGACGAGAAACGGCCGTGGAATGCACGACCACGTGCATTCCTTATTTACATATGCTTAGACGATTAGTTAGTTTAGACAGCGGATTTTTACGCGTCTGTGGAAAATGAAGAACGCGCAAAAATGAAGAACAATCATAAAATTATCCGAGATATGATATTCGTTGAAGTTAATAAGCGAAGAGACGAATCTTTATTTCGATTCTATTCTTTCGAATTATTTGAAATACGTAATCCGCTGTTTGATCATTAATTTATTATTTTATTACGCTCAATAATGCCAGAACTGCCAAAGTGGTAAGAATAACTAATTTTTAATTTTTGAGAATAGTTTCTTTTTTTGGAGCACTTTTTTTTTTCAATGCTGCATTTTTCGAGATTCGAATGATTTTTCTAAAATATAATAATATAATAATAATAACAATATAAAAATATAATAATATAATAATAATAACAATATAACAATATAATAATATAATAATAATAATAATTTATAATATAAAAAAGGTACTTTATTGTTTCTTTGCACTCTAATTTCTCTGATATCTAGTATTAATGCACAATAATTTGTCTGCTCATTATTATGCATTATCAATTAAAGGTAAAAAAACAATATCGTTATAATACTTGTTGGATGACATAAATTTTTATTTAGATTTTCTCCTCTTAATCAGATTGAAGAGGATATGAGTTTACATAAATATTCTATACGATGCACAACTCGCAATATACAATATATTTATTGATAGAAAAAATTTATCCGGAGGCTAGAAACCTTGTTTTGCTACATATCCTTTTTAATGGGAAAATAATTACAAGTCAGACAATTAAAATTATACATAAAATCACGTTGAAACGGAATTGCGACAGGGATTGCACGATTTGCAGATTTCCGATATTAATGAAATAAAGCCAGCAATAATGACGACGTAATTAAAAGGGATATTGTTTATTAAGATAATAATTATACGTTGAATAAATTGACAGATCGTTCGAAGTATTATTACAAATATTGAACGTTATTATAATGTTATCAAGGTAAACAAGTTACACTTTCGCACAGAGTATTTTTACACAGTTAATACTGTAATGAACTCGTTGTTATTAACAATAACATACATTGTACAATGATTATAATTCAGGTAAATTATTTCACTCATTAGTTGTTCGATTTGTTGTACGATCCATTTCCATAAAGCGTATTCTTTCGAAAGATTTTCGCGGAAATAATTTGTTCAATGTTCGTTGTGCGAGTAGGTATTTCTGGAGTATAAAATAGAATAGTATAGTAAATTTGGAACTAAGGAATTTTACGGAAAGTCCGAATACAATGATCATTCTGTCATGATACATTTATAATACCGTGTAATTTATAAATTTCATTTCTTTTGAAAATTACTTACTTCATCTGCTTATTACGGTTATTGTGTCTTATTAATGTAACCATTATATCAATAAGAAACAAATGATTTATACACGACAATTATTAGTTACTTCTTGATTTAAATTAGAGTTTAGTTATGAAAAATTTACTAATATAAATGTTTTATTGACTGAAATCACTTAGGTATTATCACATTCGGTAGATGTTGATAATCTTCGTACATTGTGTAAGAAGATCCTACAGGAATTAATATAAAGTTCTTATGTTTCTATAAAATATTCTATTTTTTTATATTCGATTAATTAAGAATTTAATTAAAGAAAAAAGGCTACTGGTAAAACAGACTTTCCACTTCATGCTCCAAAAGCGATATTACAAAGAATTTTAATTAAGATAGGCGAAGGCGCAAGGAACAAAAAAGAATTTACAATGCAATAAAGAACGTATGAAAAATCACAAGTTGGTCAATTTTGATCAATTTAATGTAAAAGACAATGAACTGTTCAAATATGTCCCTCTGACATTTCTATTCTAAATATCTTGTTATTTCTACACATGGTTTTAAGCTTTATCAATCCAATCATGATAATCGAGTGTTATTAACGTGTTATTCTGGACTTTTATACAAGTACACAAAATTGAGATTAAAATATCTTTCGAACTTGTTATTTCTCGAAACGTGGAATAATTTCTCGTTAATTTCAATTTTGTATAACTTATATAAAAACCTACAATCTCGTTATAAGACTTGCATTGATAAAGTTTGTACCGATAGAAAAAAAGGCAGGTACGCTTTCATTTAAAAAAAAAAGTGGCGCAACCGTAAAAATGCACGTGCATCGTTGCACTTGCGAAGAGAAATGTTATCGTCATTTTGTCGACCGAAAGAAGATAACATGGCTCGCTACAATCGCGTGAATCATCCTGCACGGAAGTTTAACGAACGAGGCCTATTCTGTGTCGATTTGTTTAGAACGTGAGGTATGAGGATGCTGAAACGATAGGTCAGGTTCGATTATGTCAGCCTTCTCTGATGACGATACCGGGCATTGGTCTTTCAGATCTGATTTCGTCGCCTCGATGCAGACGACACCGTGTCGTTGCGATTCGTTTTTAGCGAGCCCGTATATAGTGCCTCTGATTGGATATAGTGCATTGGATCGATATACACGGGGTGTTTATAAAACTTGGTGCCAAACTTTGAAACAAGCAAAAAATGCGTCCAAGAACTATTTCCGGATTTATTTATCTGATCGTTTTAGATCTGTTCGTACTCGAAATCGATCCAAAGAATTACAATCACATTAATTCTGTCATTTACTAATTGTAAGTTTAATAAATGGAGGAACGTGCATTGTCGTCTTGTGTAACGATTTGTAGTTATTTCTCGACTTAATAATCTCGTTACACACCGCTGATACGTAGAAAGTACATTTCAAATTCTGTTTTTTCGTCACACCATTGACGTAAAATTCACGTCATATTGACCAGTCACGGAATTTCTATATCTATCTCTATATCTATCTCTTCTATATCTATCTGTATATAATCAGAGGCAGGAACGTGAAAATAATACGGTAGCGAAAAGCAGTTTGTTTCAAGTTCCGAAATATATGAGAAAACACGAGAGATGTGTGCATAAATGAACGACGCAACTCTGAAGTTAATGGCCCGCGTTTAAGACTTTCTTCTTTCGAAAAGAAGATTGCGATCGATCTTCTTTCGCTACGCGGATGGCACTTGTAAATAACCCAAAGAATATTTTAATACTACAGCCGAAACGAGAGTAGCAGGTCGTTTTGTTTTGCTTTTATTTCAGACTTTGATGCATCGTTGCAACAATTTATGACATCGTACGAGCATGGTCCTTTTTTCTTTGATAGAGGAAAGCCATGTTTTTGGTTTTCGTGATATCTCGAATGAGATTTTGACTTCGGATGAAAAACCAAAAAAGATCACGACGACTGTTCGTGAAATTAGAGAAGATGTAAAATTTGACTTTTTGAGGTATCACGATTAGCAGATTTCAGAAATGAGGATTGAATTTATGAAGTAGTGCGGACAAGTTAGTGGGGACATGAATTTCGAGAACGAAGAAGCATTTTAAATAACTAGGAACACGAGCTAAATTTGAACGAATAACTCCAACTCTGAAAAAAAAAAAAAAGAAAAAGGAAAATGAAACCAGCACTGAAGAAGCAAGGTGAATTATATTGAAAACACGAACTGAATTTACAACTAATTGCCAAGTTTCTTGAAGAAAGGAACAAGAAAAGCCAACGAAAACATTATCACGTTCCACGGAACGTGAATATCTCTCTGAACAATAAATTTAAAACGTGATCTTATTCATCCGTAACACGTAAATTTCATTTCCGATAATCTAAACCTCTCTTCAAACTCTGAGAAGAAAGAAAGACAAGAGTGATTTGCGTTTCATCAAATAAAGGAATGCAATTGGCTACCACTTCCATCTGCGCATCTCTGCTCCTATTTTATTTTGATATAGCTAATAGATTTTCTCAAATGTCCGGTTATGTGTGTATTTTTCTAAATCGACGAATACTCGATTTTATTTTACTGCTGGCCGATATGGATTTTATTGTTATTCATATTTGTCCTCTTCTAGGGGCACGTAATGTTATTGTGGAAATAGAAATAAAACAGAATACTCTAGTTGCAATAGCTTTCTTCATGCGTGTGCCGTACATACGGGTATGTACGGATGTCAAGAAATTACATCTCATGACCTTCATAGCGTGATTCTATGCCTTCGGAACGGTGAAGATCTGAAAAAAGTCGACCTTAACCGGTTTTTTTAAGGTCAAATTTTTTTACCATTGCATCGTCGAGAAAATAAATTAATGTCGAAACTATTTCATTTATATTATTATTATATTTTATAGTGAAATATGGCATATCGCATAGAATTTATACTGGAAAAGCCAAGAGGCAAACGAGCGACAAAGAGAGAAACTTCAAAAATATATATAATTGTTAAGAGATAAGAAACGACTGTAGATACATACACACATACATACATACATACATACATACATATATCGAAATTTAAATGCTCCGAGGTTCCACGTGATCGCTGTGGCGCGAACGTAATGTTGGACCTTGACCTCTCTGTTCGAGATATGGTCGTGCCTTCGTGCGACTCACCTGCGAGCGGATATCCTTCATCCTATTACGTCCGTCACAGCCTGTCTCGTACGGTTGTCGGTTTGATTCGTCGTAGACAAGCTAGCGAGCTTGTACGTTCGCGTCAGCGACTGAATGCTACTACAAAATGACTAGGTCAGCCACGAAGACCGATCGTGTGTCATGACGACCGATTCGGGTCGAGTCGTGCGGAGTCGAGTCGAGTCGGATTTGAACGTGCCGCGCTGTTGATAATTGGCGCGCTTCTTCGACGCGTGTGCGCATGCGCCGATTACGAACTTTTTCGCGCGGTTGAATCGTCGTGAAGCATTTGAGTAACATGTAAAACGTAGCGTTTGTGAAAGCGTTCGGAAACATTCAAAAGTATTGTGGAAAACATTTTGAAATGTTGTCACGCGATTGATTATATTGATAAAGAGATTTCGATATTGTTACATGAAAAATGAGAAATGTTAATCTATTGTATTTACCTGTGTTTCATCACATGAAATAATGTTTCATGTTTTTGTACTTATGTTTGGCGAAGATTTTAAATTCTTCTTCGTGGCGTTATAAATAATTTTAATTTACTTTTAATACATTCATATTTTCTTGAAGATAGTAAAAATAGACAGAGATTCGTCTTGTTATTTTATCAAATATTATAACAGATACCTATTATATTTACGTGCATTCTGTTCATTTTTCTACCATTTTAAATTTCGCATAGACACACAAAAATCCGCAGTCTAATTGCTGTCTACAAAATACACGCAGCAATATTCGAGTTTATTGGACTTAGACAAACTTCGATCAACTATGTACAATTCGATGTGGATCTTCCAACATGTTGAAAACCACTGTGAGCCACTCTCAACTTCAAAGTTTTAATTTGTCGTCGCGAAATACACGCCAGTTCGTTCCTGTTACTGCATTGCAAACAAAATTTTGAAAGTTTAATTTCTCGTTCCCTGAAACGCTCTGTACATTTAAGTTTAATTGAAACGGTCTCGCAAATTGTCGACCACAACGCCTCGCGCGCGTTTCTATTTAAATGCGACTCAAATGGGCGAATTCGTCAATTTCAATGTGATTCTCCGCGAATTTTGTACTGGCCTGTACGATTCAACATAACCGAGTATTGCTGCCGCTAGTTGATATCGTTTTAAGGGGGTATTCTGGTAATCCGGCTTAAAAAAAATCGACTTTTTTGGGATTATTTTATAAGGAAAGCACGATACATTTTGGCATGTAGTTTTCACATACAAATTTATTCATACTTAAACAGTATTTACAATGTTTTTTTTAGCGAAATTAATGAAAGTTGTGGAAATTATGTAGCCTTAGGTAAAGCATGCTTTTAAAAACGGGTTCGAATAGCTTAATTGGTATAAATATGTCTATCGCATGAACCACGGAAACAGCGAAATTTCGAAAATTAAAAAAAGTGGCAGCATTTTGAATTTAAAATATCGATTTTCCTCCGATTTTTCGATTAAATATTGTATTGAAATGTTCTAAGTTCGTCTGATTTTCTAAAACGAGTGTAGCAGGATTGACTAAGGTGTTTGATGACTCGGAACATTTAGATAGAATATTGAAAATAGAAATCAAGCGTGTATGAATAATGATTCGTTCACCTTCACGAACTTGCGAAACTTCTTAGAGCGAGAAAATGCAATTTGATCGTTCATTTCAAATTATAGTTTTTTTTTATTCGTTCCTTTGTTCATTAATAATGAATTATTATATAATATTTCATGTATTGTTATATAATATAAATTATATAAAGTTCTTGATGACACAATTCACACGATGCAAGTACGCGAATTTTATAGCATAGGATTTTTGTATGAAAATTTTTAATTAATTATTGTTATTATTAAGAAACTATTGCTCATAGTTATATTTGATTTTTTTGCAGTCAACGTTAAAGTTGATGAAAATGAATCAACTCGAACAGTCTCTTACTCACGCTTGTTTTTAGCTTTTATTTTAGGCGAAATTCAGTCAGATATTCCGCCTAAATGCTATACCTTTGCGTTACCTCGTCGTTTTCTAAACGTGACTCAGCCAAAAACATAATTGTTCGAGGTTCTAACAGAGACTTTATTTTCTTTATAATCACTTTGTTCTAGAAAATAATATATATCCTATTTCTCTTAATTTTAATATACAAAACTATTCAATATACACACGTTAATTCAATCAATTCAAATTGCGCACAATTTGAATCTCTATAATTAAAAAATCAACTGAACAATATGTCTATTTTATCGATGTGTAATAGTAGCATGTGAATTTTTATTAAATTGCTTAAATTAATCAGTTGCTTTTACTTATGAGATCATCTAATCACAGATCAAAAATCTAAATCATTAAAAGATGTTTATTAATTAATCAACTTACTAAAAATTATTTATATTCAAAAAATCTAACTTACCATTGCATTATAAAATCATTTATCAAAATAGAAATTTGTTACGACGTTTCTTTTTAGTGCTACAGCTTGTAATATACAGGATGTCCCTACTTTATCCGGCATAACTTTGTTAGTAAATTCTGTGAATGAAAATAAGAGAAAAATGTCATATAAACGTGTGTTCAAATATTTCTCGTCAAGGAACCACAAGGAAAATTCTAAATAACAACACGATAAGTTTGCACTTGGATATTATTCATAAAAATGGATTCCTTGGCCTTCGAGATCAATTGTGGGGAGTATTAAAAAAAAAGATTCATCACACAGAAGTCATGAAGAATACACAGAGAATTCCTAATGAAACGAAAGCAAATCAACTAGAAGTTCGAAATAATAAATCCAATTTTTCCAAGCTTATCTAAAATTCAATGAATAAATAAAATTCAATAGATTATCCATTCACAAAAATGGACAACATTTTGAAATGGAATTTCGATTATTCGTTGTGGTTCCTTAAACAATTTTCGACCATATTTTCATGTGACATTTTTCTCTTATTTTCACTCACAGAATTTGATAAATACTGGCAAAGTTATGCCAGGGAAAGTAGGGACAGTACTTGTGTAATAAAAAAACATAATCATTCAAAGTCCAAACATTAACTTTCTTATATTTTAATATATAAATTAATATTATTAATGTTAATTTAAATTCCACCTAAAATTAATAATTTTAATAAATAAAATCATTTTTATCACAGTAAAATTTATTTATTGTTAACTTATAATATAAGTTTAACCGCATATTGCTGGCACTTTAATTTATCATTATTAATTTTAATTTCCATATTTAATTTACATTAAATTTTAATAGAATTTTTTATTAATTTTATTATAATATATATAATATATATATGATAATATAATTAATATAATAATATATATATATATTTATTTATTATTTTTTATTAATTTTATTATAATATATATGATAATATAATTAATATAATAATATTCTATTATAATATATATATGATAATATAATTAATATCTATTTACAAACTACAAATGAACATGGAACAAGGAACAAATCTATACTTAAGATTACGTTTTTTTTGTGTTCCGCGCATTCGTAAAAACATGAAATTCCACGAACGTCCTGAAATATAAGGGATATATTTGGTGTTGCGTCACTGATATACCACAGGCTCGGGATATAGTCAGGACGCGATAAGCGATGTGATATATTTCTCGAGCGTGGAAAGTCCGCGTCGCGGGACGGATAAATCGTTCTTCTGCGCGATTTGATGCGGATAAATTATTTCTTTCTAGGAAATCACCACCGTTGGGACCATTGCGCGTGATACACTGCGCCAAAGAATCGCGAACACGCCTGTATAGTATACTGTACGTGATCTATCTCGTATACGCGGTTGATTCATCCTTACAAATTAATCAAACACGCGAAAAGACGTACTAAGAGTTTCTTTGCGCATCAATTGATGCGTCAAAGTCGCCAAAATTCGACGAACAATTTTAATTGATTGTCAACACATTGTCCTCGTGTTTGATTTCGTACGATCCTCTTTAAGAATGGAGCGATTACAGATGGTTTTTCAGTCTCTCTGTAGCAAAAATTAGTTTCAGTGACAAGTCAGTTTCGAGGAAATACATTTTAAACTTTTTAAACATTTAATACATTCAGTGGATACAATGTGTGTCACTGTCACAAAAAAAAAAAGAAAGAAAAAAATAGAATCATGGTTGCATTCTTTAACATTAAAAAATAAATAAAAACAAGGAAACCGAATGAGAAAGCTGTTCGATCGAATAATTTCGTCGTCAGTTTTTGAACGAAACTCGCCTTTTTTTGGTAATCGCGCCACGTGTTTCGTTTGTTTCTGTTCTCCTACGCTTTTCCCACGCATTTCTCTCGTTTTCTGCCTGTGTAGCCACGCGTCTCCTCATTTTCATCAATCTCGTTTCTCGTATTTCCTTCCAACGTTCCCTCGCCTTTTTATTTTCGTTTGTTATCGCGTTTCATTTCTTTTTGCTCACCTTTTACCAGCCAACCTCCTTTCCCGTCGTTTTCTTTCTATTCTTCTTTTTCTTCCTCTCTGCACCTCGGCCTCTATTTAGCTCTCGTTTTCTATCAGTGCCTCTTATCCGGTCATCCCCTTAAAACGAACGTTTACGACCCAATTCTCGCCGTTCGTTCCTCACTTATCTCTTCTCCTCTCTTCTTGCACCATTCCCCCGCTTTCCAATCCACTTTTCCTTTCTCCTCCTTCTCTTATTCCTTATTTTACCTCTCGTTTTATTCCCTGCCTCTCTTCCGATCGAGTACTTCTTGCTGTCTCACTTTCTCAATTTCGTTCTGCTTTTCATTCAGGACCGTGATGTTGTTATTCTTGTTTCGTTGAGCCTGTTAATATTTCAATTTATTGAACGTATAGTGATCACTATTAGACTAGACTGAAGTTAGTAGATCGGTAGATATAAATTAAGATTGATAAACGATGATAAACAAATAGAGCCAGTTCAGAGAGGAAAATTAATTACGTATCAATTTCAATTACGAATGAGTATACATTTTTGTTCGTAGAAACGAATAGGAAAAAAGAGCTAAAGTATTGAAGCATGAGAAAAATCGCGGAGCTGATATATCATCTCTTGGATACTAAGAGAATTAAGTTCCTCGTTCGTTTGATCAAAACGTGTCATAAGATTCAGAACAAGAACGTAGAGTACAATATTAAAGGACAGAGGCAGAGCTGGATAAAATACTATTTTAAATGGCAAATAGTAGATAGATATTTTATTTTATATCATGCATGTATTTTTGAAAATAAAATATTTTATTTGTTCGAAAGAATGTACTTTTAAGAATAAAGTATTTTATTTGTTGTAAAAAATCTCTAAGATAATATTTCAAATAGTATTTTATTTGAAAAACGCTGAAAATATTTATGCCATTTTTTTTTCCTCTATGGGAGCACACAGTGATGATATTGGGGACGATGGTGGCAACATTGCAGAGTTAGAACTACTGCAATATTTAGGCGATGAGGATTTGCAAATTCAAAGTATTACGAAATATAAATACACAAAACAATTATTTTTAAAATATAATACGCCAATTCCGTCCAACTCCGTTCCAGTTGAAAGACTGTTTAGTTTTGCTGGCTTAACTCTTCGTCCACGAAGGAGTAGTTTAAATGATGAAAATTTTGAGCGATGCACTTTGTTACACGCGAATAGCTGCATTTAAAAAGAAAATAAATTTCGTTTGCAAATATTGTGATTTCTTACGTTATCTCGTTTTACGTTACGTTAATCATTTTCACAATTTACTTCCAGGTTAAAAACTATAGAAAGTATTTTATTTTATGCTTTATGTTATTAAAATAAAAAATATTTTATTTTACGCTTTGGATTATCAGAATAAAATATTTATTTTCATGCTTCAGCTTTAGATTATCAAAATAAAATATTTTATTCACTGAAATTTTATGTCCCGTTTGAAATACTATTTTATTTGAATTGTGAGGAATCCATCATTTAAAATAGTATTTGAAATATTTTCTCTATAAATATTACCCAACTCTGGACAGAGGTTGGACAAAATAATGGAAACACTCTTGTCTACTTGATTATTCTTTATTAGTAACATATAAAACCGCCATTGTCCTTGAAAATATTGCAAATATTGTGATATTTTACGTTATCTCGTTTTACGTTACGTTAATCATTTTCACAACTTACTTCCAGGTTAAAAACTATAGAAAGTATTTTATTTTATGCTTTATGTTATTAAAATAAAAAATATTTTATTTTACGCTTTGGATTATCAAAATAAAATATTTATTTTCATGCTTCAGCTTTAGATTATCAAAATAAAATATTTTATTCACTGAAATTTTATGTCCTGTTTGAAATACTATTTTATTTGAATTGTGAAGAATCCATTATTTAAAATATTTTCTGATATTCTCGATTCGGGTGAAACGGATCTTTGCCTAGATCTTTCAGTTTCTTGATTATTTTTAAAAATGTGCATGAAAATTCTTTCGGCAATAGAATCACGAGACGACGAAAATTCCTCAACACCTGTTATTAACAGTGATTGTAATGTTTGCAAAATTTCCCACAGACACAAAACGACGACTAATAAAGGAAAATGGCAACAATGAGAAATACGATGATAATTATTGTGTTCCAAATTATTCAATACGCAACAAGTCAACCACTTGCGACAGATACTGTGAACAGTTTGATCCCCGAACCGACCCACGAGTCATCCACCTACGAGTGTCTCTTCATTGATCCGAATCTACCGATATGCGATCCTAAGCTGTGAGTGATAAAGATTATTAAATTAATCTTTTATTCGAATATTAAAAGTCTCAGATTAATTAATGTTCGACTCGCGTGCGAACATTTTTTAATTAATTATTAAATAAATTTCTCTAACAAGAACAACTTTTCATTAATAATCAAGTCTCAGATTAATCTTTCTTTATTCATCATTATTTTTTCATATTAAATATTGCATGACATTACATGCAATAATATATATCTATGTACGAATAATATTGAAATAATATACGTTAGCGTTATTGAACAAGAGTTCTAACTAAAATAGCAAGATAATTGAAGCAACGATTAATCTGGCGACTGAAATAAGCCGAATTTCTAGACTGTGTTGTTGCCAAATATTCTGAAATGATAAATGTTTGTTAGAGTGGAATCAGAAGAAGAATTAAGTGACAAGGACACCACCTCTGACAAGGAGACGCAACGCTCGAAAAGAAACGCTGACATTTCTACGAAGGATGTCATCGTTTATACCGTAGAGGGTTGTTTGCCGTCTATGTAAAGTTTCTTACTTTCCTAATTCTAACTTCTGAAATTGATGATTTGTTGATAGAATTATCTCGCGGCCGACTAACGAGCAATTGTTGAATTGCAGAATGCCCGTCTCACTGCCATCGTGTGAAGGAATCTCCTTCTCCCGGATAATAGATGTTCAAAGGTTCCGTCCGTTCATGATCAAGAAGCTGACAAAACCACCGCTCGTTTTCCCAACAATTGATTACCCTCAGTGGTTGCGCATGGTCAAAAGAATAAAAAACCGAGCGTCCAAAATATAATGTAACTAGCATCTGCAACGATCAGTTGCTTAATAAATATTTTTTTCCGATTAATTTTATTATTCGCAATGCGACACTTGCTCTATCCTTGATGAATTCATAATTTTCTGAAAGTAATGAAACTGAATGGTTCTCAGGAGCAAAATACATTTCTGGGGAGGAACTCGATTTAGGAAACGACGCTGAACGTAATTAAGATTATTTTGAGCGATAATAACTACAGAAAAGTACTGGAAAATGAAACGTGTCCTGTTGGAGATCCTACATCTTGGCGATTCATATAAATAAAAGTAAAATCACGTACCGAAGAATTCCATTTGATCGTCAGTATGCGCTGGAATGACGTGCTACCTACGCTCCAAAGTTTCAATATTTTTTTACTTGTAATTATATTTAAATACAAACGAGGGAATACAAGTACAATAAATTTATTACTTCTTACATAGTAATTCCTATCCTTATTTTTGAATGGAAAGCGACAGTGAACTTGGCGATATCATTCAGAAAGAAAGCGACGAATTATTGTATACGTGAACAGTTGCCAGAACGAAGGGTTAAGGGGGATTTATATCACCGATCGAAGTATAATTCCAAAAGATCTCAATCGAACAGTTTCAAAAACAGTTACGAGAAACATCTGTACGAAGACGTCAACTTTTTCTAATATTTAAATTTACGACAATTCCAAGAAATTGTTTGAATTTCTCTCGCAATCCCGAGCGAAAAAGAACACTAACCCTTCATTTGGACCTATCACGAACGTTTTTTTTATTCATTTGCAGAAACAGTTTCTCCAGATTAACTGTGTTAATTCTAAATCAGGATATTTATCACATTTAAGACACACGCAGGTCAACATGTAATAAAAGATTCAGATGTTAATGCATTAAAAAATATTGTGATGGCTTTCTGATGCTATACAGGGTGTCCATAAGGTTTCTTTACAATTTCGAAAATTTATTACAAAGGCAAATGAAAAGACAGATAGATGGAAATGATTAAAAAGTGAGTCGTATATGTTTAAGTTTCCTTCTGCCTCGTTTAATACACCATTAGTTGCACGAAGCACATCAAGACGATCGACGTGTTCCTTAGATGTTCTTGGTCGTCCATACCTCCCTTTATCGAACACTGTCCCTGTCTCCATAAATTTCTTGCGCCATGCACGAATTGATGGACGTGACGGTGGATCTCTTCCATACTTGATTATTCTCCGATTTTATGTGCTTTAAGATTGGTTTCAACTTTTATTAAATGTAATCGTGATAGCCGTCTTTTATTATAATATTCATCGAACTTTGAAAAACATGATTCTTCTTTGCCTTTGTGAGTGTATGTACATTTCTAGACTGCTTTTAGATTTGAAATTTCATCGTAATATTAATGAAATTTCAAACTGTATAATATCTAAAAAAAATATATATATATATATTTTTAATATATATATATATATATAGAGATATATATATATATATATATATATATATATATATATATATAGAGAGAGAGAAGGTATTATGATTTTTTTCTCGTAACAACTTTACCTAATAGTTTACTCTTTGCGTAAACAAAGTCTTCATTTCCTTGCCCGCGCGCAGCATCAAATAGACACACCTATACTATCACAGGGATCATAACGCTTCGAGACCGTATACATTCATAAATAACGAACAACTAATGCGGATTGGCTGTTAATCATCGAGTAGGAGAAATCCGTGTGTCCAGGCTCGGGCTCCTTCTCAGCCGACGTGCTCGTCACACTTCATTTCCAATCAGATCATCAACGTGAGAACGTTGTAATCGAAACTTTGTACTTATATCGTGTACTTGAATTTCTGAAACGTCGATTATTATCCTGGTACTGGTTATTAATGCGACTATGTATGCAATGTCGCGGCTCGTTGAACATTTCTCGTTTCTCAAGCCAGATGCCCAGAGCTCGATAATTTTGAAATTTATAATTTCGTTATACTCGGAAACAGGGACAATTCTCTTGCTGCGTACGACAAAGTCAGTATGGTCTCATACATGTACCTCGTGAAGGTAAAGTTTCTGATTTTCCTACTTCTAATTTCGATAATTGTCGATCTGTTGATCGAATTATCTCGCGACTAACTAACGAGAAATTGTTGAATTGCAGAAATGCTCATCTGGATACCACTGTGATGGAATTTTTTCCCGAGGTATAGATGTATAGAGGTTCCAGTATTTACGCTTCTCAGTATTACTGGAACTTCATTATTTCCTCGAGAGTCTTGGGGAAGTGAATAACTGTCAAAGTACTCCAAAGATTACACATCGAAGGGGCTGCGATAGATAGACCTGATCGAGAGGATGATATCCAGTTTGAAAAAATTTATCTACATGCGCAGCTGCCAAGAGGGTATGTTGTCAATGATTCGATATTAGATGCTTCGTGCGTCAATTTGCAAAAAATTCAGATCAGTGAACGAAAGTCGTGCGTTTTTATTTAAAAATTAAATTCGTGTTTTTTTGACACGTTGAATGCCACCTTGATTTTGCATGGTTGGCCAACATGAATGGATTACTAAGAAAAATTTGAAAATTAAACTAGTATTTCTTATATTATTAATAATATATTTCATATTAATATTATATATTATATATTATTATATATTAAATATGCTAAACAATATATTATATATATTATATATTAATATAATATATTTTATATTAATATTTATATTAATTTTTATATTTTATATTCATATTTTATATTAAATTATTAATAATATATTATTTATATTATATTCATATGATTTGCGTTTACATTTATATAATTACATCCAGAGCTGAGTAATATTTATAAATACTATTTAATAAGAAAATATTTTAAATACTATTTTAAATAATGGATTCTCAATAAAAAATTTTTAGGATTTTCTACGATTCCTTTTTTAGGATTCTTAATAAGAAATTTTTTTTTCATTCAATAAGAAAATATTTCAAATACTATTTTAAATAATGGATCCTTCACAATTCAAATAAAATAGCATTTCAAACAGGACATAAAATTTCAGTGAATAAAATATTTTATTTTGATAATCTACAAGCTGAAGCATGAAGATAAATATTTTATTTTGATAATCTAACGCATAAAATAAAATATTTTTTATTTTAATGACGTAGAGCATAAAATCGAACAAATAAAATATTTTATTTTCAAAAATACATGCATGATATGAAATAAAATATCTATTTACTATTTGCCAAACAATATTTTATCCAGCTCTGATTACATGGTTGCTCGAAACTAGGCCATTGAATGGCCCAGTTTGTATCTTTCGAATTGACATGCAATGCACTTATCCATGGTGTGCGCTTATCCATTTTAAGTATGCAGGCAGTAATCGCAAAAAGACCAAGATTCACGAAGTGTGAAACAACTTGAAACACTTGCCTCGGGTCAAGTCGTCTGAGGATATCTTTCGATTGGTGCCAGTTGCGAAACTAATCTCTTGCGGCCACGTGCATTCAGCAAGTTCAGTTGTTGCCAATCGTTTCTCTCGCGTTCCGTTGGTTTCTAATCTCGCGTAACGCTTTAATTATTGTTTATCACGTATAACTGGCACCAGCGCGATAGCCTTGACGCTTTATTAACTCCGGCAATTAAACGAACACACAAGAGAACGACGCGACGATCGTTTAAATAGTTTAAACAAATGCACGATATCGGAGCCGCTAATAGCTGATTAATTATGGTAATAATAATTGGTGAAATTTCGTTCGTTTGCAGATTGTCAGAGAAGTTTAGATACGGTGATGGACAAAATTATGAGACACTATCATATACTTTTGAGAGAAGAGAATATAGATTTTGTATATATTTTCATGTTGCACGTGTGTGGTAGTTTTGAGCAGAGAAATTTGTAATTTTGTAGTTGGTGTGATAAAAATTATATCTATAAAATTATATCTATAAAGTATATGAATCTAACAGAGACTACTTAAACATTACATACTATGGTAATTTATCTTATATATCATTTTTATCGTTGCAATATATTGGTGTGATAAAAATTATATCTATAAAATTATATCTATAAAGTATATGAATCTAACGGAGATACTTAAACATTACATACTATGGTAATTTATCTTATATATCATTTTTATCGTTGCAATATATTGGTGTGATAAAAATTATATCTATAAAATTATATCTATAAAATATATGAATCTAACAGAGACTACTTAAACATTACATACTATGGTATGTGATGTTGGTTGGAAAGAAGTATTTTCAAAATAGTGTTAATGATGCAGTTTAGGAAACAGTATATCTTGAATCTGTTTTTCGCTACTTTGGGATAGGGAATTTATTCATACGTATTAGAAAAAAATAAAAAATAATTAAAATATATTTTACAATATATTGATTATATATATATCATTTTATTATTTCATTCATAGTTACTACTTTGTGCTTAAAATTTCTTTTGGTTAATTGTCTCAAGGATCTAGACGACCTCATAGTAAACTGTTAGTATAGTTTGCACATCCCCGTGTCAGTTAATTATTATGCTATTCTTATTAATCGAGTCTCGTGCAGGAGTAATGATTAAATTCAAAAAGAATTTATAGTACAGTCGGCAATTTTTTTGTGAACAAAGCGATCAATGAGTGGCTACTGTACGATTCTAATTTTATGTGTAACATAATATATTCGTGAAAAGTTCCTTCAAACTAAAAATTCCAACGAGCATACTATTCTTCCTAAAATTTTCACTCAGAAATAGTCTCTAATAGTCTCGTGCGTTTTTTCGTGGATATGGTATGGAAGATATCCTTAAGAAGGCACAATTTTTATTAGTCTAACTAGAGAACCACTGAGTCGTTTAATTAGTAGGTGTAATAAACGAAAGATAGCACAAGCTTTGATAAAAAATTAAAGCTACGATCCTTTAAAAAATTATTTCCACGGGGACTCCGTGTAAAAATTTATTTACCAATCAAAAATTAAAAAGTACATACGTAAATTACAGGTCAGGCGGCATCAAAATGAAATGTTTAACATGCTGTAGTCATTTCCTTTATCTACTTTCTTTCTTTTTCAACATTGCTGCCAATTATGACACGTCACGTCATGATACTAGAATATGATGCATCATGATACTGTATGATACTAGTATATAATACAAATGAAGCATATTTGTGCTCGTATTAATTTATGAACCAATTAGTCATCTCCCATGGATCTCTCCTAGATGTCTTTCATTTGAAATCGTTAGAGATCTCTGGAATTATACTCTGATCGGTGATTTAATTCCCCTTAATTCTTTTCGCTACAGCAATTCATCGCTTCCTTTCTGAATTCGTCTGAATGATATCATTAAATGATAAATTATTACAAAATGAGTCGTATAACTCTACGTGGGTGTCCATAAAGTCTTTTTACAATTTCAAACAATTATTACAAAGGCAATTGATGAGATATCTTCATCAGATTTGTTCTATGTATTCAGTGGTTATCAAGGTTTTTATTACCTTGCATTTCAGGTATCCTGTTGATGAATAAGATACTGTTAAACCTCTTACAAAATGACTACTCCTCAAGAGAAGGCACAGTGTGTATCATGGTTTATTGAAACTGCAGACTCAGCGAAATTTCAGAACTAAGTATGGAAGAAATTCACCGTCACGTCCAAAAATTCGTGTATGGCGCAAGAAATTTACGGAGACAGGGACAGCGTTTGATAAAGGGAGGAGTGGACGAGGAAAACATCGATCGTGTAAGAAATTGAGTAACGTCTTGTGAAATATAAATATAAAGGTTTCGAGAGCGTACAAATCGTGGAGAAATTTCAGATTGCAGCGACTCGTGAGAGAGGAAATTAGAGAATCGTGAAAATATCGAGTCGTGATAGAATGGAGACATGAAGAGCAGCGAGTCGTAAGAATAGTATAAATCTTGAGAAAATTATAGCGAGTTGTGATAGTCTTAACATGTTAAGGCCGTGTCAGTCACTGTTGACTGACGATGTACAATTTAAAAAATTATATTCTTCTATTAATAAATTTTAAATAATTTGAAGATCGTAAAAGAATGTACCTAAATATTACTTATTACCGAAGAAGAATTTGTTAGATGGAGAGCTAATTTCTTCCGATATTTTACTTATTTTATTTATTTTTATATATTTTATATATTTTATTCTTTGTATGATCTTTTTTTGATTTTCAAAAGCAAATGCGATAACTGTACGAAAACTTTTGAACGAGGATAGTATGCGTGTCTTTTCTTCAATCTCACGAGACAAAGAACTGCGTGGATTCGCAACAAGATTTTGTTAATGGTTATTTGTAGGTTCGAGAGATTTTTAAACTTCATTGTGATGTACTATATAGAAGAATGTTATTTATGTGAATATGTAATTATGATTTCCGTAGAACGTCACAACTAATCATTTTTAAACTGCGAATATTTGTGTAAATTTCTACTTGAAAATTACATTGTCCAAGAAATGTTATAATATATATTTTAACTATATTTTATATATTTTACATATTTTTGAGTGACATACATATTTAATAAATAAAAATATCATATTCTAATACTTTCGATTATTATTAAATTTAATATTTATATTTATATTTAATATAAACATTATAGCATGTAATGTTATAATATATATTTTAACTATATTTTATATATTTTACATATTTTTGAATGACATACATATTTAATAAATATAAACATCATATTCTAATACTTTCGATTATTATTAAAAGTATTGAATTTAATATTTATATTTACATTTAATATAAACATTATAGCATAATTTTAGTACATGTTATTTTTCTGATGGAACAAATGTTTGAAAATAAAATACTATTCGTTTCTTTATTGCATCGACTTCGTTGACAAAGTCAGAGACAATTAACACATGTTAAAGCTAATAAACATTTTAGCTGAAATTACAATAATGAAACTTCTTTAATTATATAATATCTATTAAAGTCTGTCTCTCGACAAATCCATCTTTTGAATTCTTCTAATTTTCGTACTACATCTCTACTTCTCTTGCTATTCCAACGTCAATCTCTTTATCAGGGTTTCGTGGCATCCGATGTCTCTTCAGTATTATCCATTACCTTTAACCAATCCGAAAACACCGGCGCCCGAACTGGCTTTCCATCCCCCAAATCGAATTTATCGACATCGTGAACATTATCCAAGGAAATATCTTGCTTCCTCGATGCCTCGTTCTCCGTCTCGCCATTCATCGGCGACTTCATCGTCTCAAACTCTGCAAACTGATTGCTACTTTCTTTTAGCGATCGATCCTCAAGGACGCCGCACGGCGAGACACTGTCAAGAACCACAGGTTTGCGAGCAACGTTCGGGACAAGTCCGCTGTTTCTCGAAATCGCAAGCTGCAGAACAGGAGTACGCGTGGCGCCAGGGCAATCCAAGGCGAAACTCGTAGACGTTTGAACGACGTTTGGACTGTTGGTGACAATTTCTGGCTTCTTTGGCGATTTTGTTAGAAACCTATGACGTGTATCGCCAGATAATTCCACGATGTCTTCGTCGTTCGTGTTGGCCAATGCGATACTCAGGGTGGGTCTCGCGTCGTGTGATTCAGAAGCTTCACTGTCTTCTGCCTGATGCTCGCATAACGGTATTCCAATATCAGGGAGACAGTTATGAGCGACTAAAGTAGCAGTAACTGGAGCGTTCAGAACCTTGGTTACGTAAATCTGCTTTCGTTTGGTCACATTTTCCAAATGCGGAATGTGCCTCTCCATCCTGATGCTCCTTTCTTGCCCCTCCGTCAATATTGACGTCCTTCGGCTCGATTCCGTTAACTTCTCTTCCACGGATTCTTCGGAGGGTTGCAATTGCTTCCGAGGTAAGGGAACGACGATTTCCGGCGGCTCGAATTTGCTTAGAACTTCCTGTTCGAGCGACGACGCGCTCGACTTCGACTGCACGTCGGTCAATACCGAGTATACCTCTTTCTCTTCTTTCGATCGCTTGCCGGTGACACGCTCGTATTCCGTTTGAAATTCTTGCAGACCTTCCAGACACAACGACACACCTCTCGCGGGTTTCATGCAAACCGGTTGACGCCATCGAACGATCTCCACTATCTGAACTTCCTCTGTCGTCAGTGGTTGATTACCGTGCCAGAAGAATCGGTTCAGATCCAACGCATCGGCGCTGAAGAAGAGTATTGTTAAGACAAGTATCGTTGATGAGACAGTGAACTTCATGGCGAGAGGAAAACTGTCTACTATTGTCGGCAGCAAATTTTTTATAAATTTGACCAACGATCGAAAGAAATCGAGCTTTAGAAATTTCGAGAGTAGCAAGTCTCGTTCACGAGACTATCGATGGTAGTAGACTACTGTGATGCGTTTCCGACTGGAATCCCTATTTATATAGATGAAGAAGCAGTCGAATCTTTATGGAAAAAACGCCGAAAAAACGGGATCTCCATTTTCTCGACTAAAAGCCAAGAATGCCTTTTCGTTGGCGATGTTTCAGGCGATTAGCACGGCCGACGAATACACTCGAGTCGAAACCGATTCCGTTGCACTTAAGAGGGGCCACTAACGTCGCGTTAATTGCCCTTAAGGGTCGCACCGGGTCTGTGTGTCTCTGTGTTGGGAGTTCCCGAAGTGGACGAGTTAATTGCCGGGTTGGCTACATGCTGGCTAATGTGAAGATGCATTTCTGAGGTGCTTCTTTCACGATGGTCGTCCTTATTACGCTTGATTGCATTTATATTTGCGTTTGAGAATAATACTTGTGGAAAATGATAGAAGGATAGAAGTATTTTAATTAATTGAATGGTTTTTCTTTAATTGAGACACACGAAGGGCAATTGTAATTTGAAATATCAACTTTTAATTATTTTAATTCATGCGGGACGTCCAGGTAGCACCTGCAGGCACGCAACCATAAGTTCATTGTTGCGCTATTGCATATGATCAGGCGCATCGAGGAGTATGTTTCTCGTCGGAGGAAAAATCTTTTAAATAGATATTGAAACAGAAAGTTTTATTCTATTATTTTATAGAAGAAATTGATTTTTGCTATGGAACATTTTTCTTTTTATAGAAATCGATGCATGAATATTCTAGTTAAAATTTTTTTTCTAACTTTCAATTGCTAGAAATCGTATTGGAAAAAGCAACGTTACGTAAAAAAGTATACAATTATGTACACGTGTGTTGAACGTCAAAAAGTATTTTATTAGGATTGTTAGAACCTCATTAGTTAATTTAACGAATCATTGAATATTGCTCTGTGACTCTTTTACTAATCCAACTTTGGAAAATGCACTGCAATTATGAATTTAACAAGCATGGAATATGGCATGCAATAAGTAGTATCGAATTCTATTGAATACAACAATCTAGATGGTATTAAAGAACTATCTATTATATTTATTAGTAATAATTTTTGTTACTAATAAATATAAATTATTTAATAAATCATCCAGTAGTTTAATTAGCAATAATTTTTATTGCTAATAAACATAAATTATTTAATAAATTATCCAGTAGTTCAATTAGCAATAATTTTTATTGCTAATAAATATAAATTATCTAATAAATTATCCAGTAGTTCAATTAGCAATAATTTTTATTGCTAATAAATATAAATTATTTAATAAATTATCCAGTAGTTCAATTAGCAATAATTTTTATTGCTAATAAATATAAATTATTTAATAAATTATCCAGTAGTTCAATTAGCAATAATTTTTATTGCTAATAAATATAAATTATTTAATAAATTATCCAGTAGTTCAATTAGCAATAATTTTTATTACTAATAAATATAAATTATTTAATAAATTATCCAGTAGTTTAAGACAGAATGTACACAACAGAAAACGTCGCAGATTGCAGTGATGGATTTTCGGTTTCGCTCGACTATCTGGCTCAGTCAGAGGTTATGATAAGGAGAAGGAATATTTGACGCGCTCTCCTAGCTTCGCATTCGACATAAATGGCGCTGCCGGTTTACCGGAAACGTACTTTTCGGCTGGACAATTGAGCGAAAGTAACCGTCGCTACACTGGGACGTTGAGCGGAAGTAGATTTCGCTACAAAATGTTTTCCAATAATAATATTATTACATCTAATTTCCAACAAAGAATTCCTCCCTCTGTTTCTAATCTAGTAACGATCATTTAAATATCCCTCTCTCTCTGATGTAACAATAACGTCATGTCTTAACCTCTTGCGCTAGTAACTGATTCGCGGACCATAACGAGTGACCAAACCGTATACAATAATCTTCTTTTTGAATTCATCGGTATATCACCGGATAGAAATTACTAAGAAGTGAAAAATTTATTATTTGTTATTTTTGCCTTGGATTGTATCTCAATATACTCGAAAACTGAGGAAATATTGCAATTTTGGGACAAAAAATCCTCGACGTGCGTGGCACGTCATTCCAGCGCAAGAGATCAAACATCGCAGATAAATAAAGAAGCGTAGATCTAACCTTGAGAGTTACCGAAGAACGAGAAAACGAGCATCGGGACGATAAGAAACGTCTCCTGGAAGAAGGAGAAAGAAGGAATTCCGACACACCTGAGCCGGATTCCTGTTAGACATTAACTGGTACCCCTTCCATTGAAACGATACGCAGAGAAGGGACTGGCATAAGGGACACGTGAACAAAAAAAAGGAAAAGGTACTCACAGATCTTACGGATGCAGTGAAGAAACATGGAGATGTACAATCTAAGTAGATTATGAATTTTATGTGTTATTTTTCACTTACGATTATTAACACTAGACCTACCAAAATGACCATTTCAATATTTTTGTCAAGTACAAAAGGAAGATATATATTTTTAGACGATTGAATGATTCTTCGTAAAACAAACATAAACGAAAGCTTGCGCGCCCTATTTATAAGTGTTGTAAAGATTTTCTGTTTTTCTTTCACTTTAGTATCTCCGATGGAAGTTTTATGATTCTAGTGTCAATCACTTTTGAGCGGGAATGCGAAACTAACTGCCAATCGAAACGATACCTGACGACGTTCGTTCAATTCGATGCCGAGGCACTCGACCGGAAATATCGAAATTTTAGACACTCGGTATTATCGATTCTCCTCGATACTAAAGTACACTAATTGCAAGTGTACCGGTACAATCTGCGCAATCTGTCGAATTGCCGTTTCTGATACGATACCGAATGTACACTGATAAGCGCGTATATATATATGTACATATTTGATCGTTCTGACGTCGGCGCACACACGTTACACAGGAAAGCGTAAATACTTGCATCTACACACCGATACCGTTGTCGTTTGCGATTTGTCTTTCAGTTAACTGGCGAGAGGAATGCAGCGCTATGTAACGCTGATGCTGCGGTTAGAAAGCCTTAAGCCAGGTCCACAGTGTCGTCTCGCAGCGCACCATGGCCGCATACCACCTGACCATCTACGCCGAACGATACACACAACCTGTCCGGCATGCACCGTACTCACGGTGCCGTACGCCTGACCGACTGGTACCAGTACGGTACCAGTTGCCCTGCAGCCAGGCAGCTGCGCGCGCGTATTTGCCTCGTCCGAAGAAATCGCGATCGTGGTCGCCGATTCTCCTTCACTCGTACAGTGTGTTCTGTCTTTACTCTCCTCGCCTATACGTAATTGGAATACTATCTATCTACATACCGAAAGATTGGCGTACTGGAGTACGAAACGATTAGGATGACTGCTGACCGGGGACTGAGCAGGTTGAACGTTCGGAGGATCGGTTGAGAAGATACGCGCTCTGGAAACATTGGATCAAGTAAGTCGGTGTTGGAAGGCCCGATCGAATTCCTTCTGGATTAAACGAGCCCCCGATGTCTGCCTCGACTGACACTTTATTTCTGGTTCGACTGAACTTCGAATTCACGCCGACTGCGGCCGGAGCGTAGTTCGAATGCTTTGCGCGGTTTGCCCAGGGATTCCTGTCTTGCAACGGACCGACGGTTTTCCTTTCGGTTTAGGTAAAGTCTAAGATTTACAGACAGGTTTGAGTGTTTCTTGAACGTGTGGTGTTTGCTATATGGTTTATGGAAATGGCACTGTTTGCGAGTTAGGTTTTATAGAATAGTGGTTTTCTTCTCGGCGTGGGGAGGATATTTATTTTTATGGGAAATGGTAATGTTTGGATCAGGATTGTAGATTTGAGAAACTTCTACGATGAATGATATTTATGGTTATGGAAAATGACATTGGGTTAGGTTTGTAGTCTTGATGTTCTTCTGGGATGCTGATCTTTTTTACGGGTTATACGGGAAAGAAAACAATAGGTTGGGTTAAGTTCGTAGATTTGAATCTCTTTTAGTCTGTTTGAACTGACAGTTGAAGTTACATAAAAAGTTAAGTTGTTACTACTGTAAATGATTATTAACATTATGAAACTTATTTATATTCAAATTCTGAAACAGACGGAAGTATACACATGTAGAGATATTATTCTTTTTTTTTTTTTTTTTTTAAGGCATGGAGCTCATGCATGAAGCTGTAAAAGTTTCTTCCATTTTAAATGTAGTCATTGAATCCCTGGGTGTGTCAAGGAATTCTCAATGCAAATTCTAAAGGTTGACGCATACGTAGATCTATTATGCGCGATTGTGATTCTATTTTTTTTTTACCAAACCTTTAACCATGTACGTATACAACTGCCCATACATATGTAACAAGTAGAAAATTTTTCTAATTTGGTTATTTCATTAAACTTACGGACGTATACATTTATATTCAACATTCTCAATAGCAATTCTTTTCACTCATTCATAAGTCGTCAAGTCACGATTGTGATACGAATAACTATCTCGCTAGCAGCTATCCAGCATTTCGAGCAGCCTCCATAAAATATTTACGGTCTTTTCGCAGAACGGTGATGAGATCACGGTTGAACGCGTCTCATTGCCGACGACGAGTCACGGTTGCATAACAGACTTTTGCTTGGTATCAAAAACCTCGCGCGGTGTATTGAGTTTGTACAAACTGTTCCTCATTTTTAATAGCTTACGTCTACTACGTGAAAAGAATATAGCGCGAAAATTAACAGACCTAATGTTTATACATTTCGTGCGTCAAAATGTGTACTTAAATGTGTAATCTAATTGTAAGGCATTTTCGGAGAGATCTAAAGAGATTTTGATAAAGATCTAAAGCTCCTTTCATGTGATATGAACTCGAAATTGTTTCTTCTTGTTTAGTCGCGTCGCTTTTGAACCAAAAAGTTTCCATTATTAGTGAAGTTAAGTCAATCTTAGCTAGGTCAAATATTCTCGCAAATGGAAGTATGATTTATTTGTAAAAAGAAAAAAAAAAATGAAAATGAACATATAGGGGAATGGAAGGTGCAAAATAAAATTGTGACGTAATTGCAAATTACCACGGTCATCTGTGACTTCATGACGTCACGTAAGAATTAACGTTGTAAGCAAAATATCAGTTCACAAGTGACTTTTATAAAGCTCGATTTCTAGATAATATAGAATTGTATAATGTAGAATAATTGATTAAAAAATGATCGGTGATAAATATAACTTTAACGAAATGTCGGAAGCAGAATTTAAACTATTTTCATGAAACACGTATAAAAGGCACATATAGCGTTGGATGCGGCTAAGTGTATCATGTTATACATATTATCGTCTTATTTTTAATGCTTTAATTCGCGTTCTATCGCGTTTGATTAATACAGAGGTGTAAACTCTCGATCCACGATTTAGAGGAGTTAGAAAGTGCGACCGTGGCGTTATTTCGCGGTTCTTTCCTCCTTTCCTTTATTGCGGTTCGCGTGTAATTGCGAACTCGCCCACGTGCGGAGACCGTTGGAATGTTTGGATAATTCGTGTTGTTCGCGTGTGCTTAATTTATGTTTGTTCCCTGCACGCCCCCTCGTTTCGTGCTAGTTTGAACCAGGTGGAGGAAGACAAGAAGACACGAATGAATATAATGTATATATATATATATAATGTTTGTAAATTATATATAAAATATTAATTTAATTAATAATTTAACAATAATTATACTTTTTATTTATATTATTAATATTAATGATTCATTTAAAATCGAAATTTAATATGCAATTTACATTAAATATTAATAATTTATTTAATATTATTTAAATTATTTTATTTTTATTTATATGTAATTTAATAAATTTATATTAATATAATATATATAAATTTATTTATATAATTATTTATTATTTATTATCATTCAGTATTAAAATATATATATATAATTAATACATGTTACACACTCATAATAAGTAGTATTTTTATTTATTCTTTAAATAAAATTCTTATATATATATATTATAATATATATAATATATATATATAGATTATTAATCTAATTATAATATATATAATCTATATATATATTTTATTTTATACATAAATAAATAAATAATTTAATGTATATATATTTATTTATATAAATAATTTAAATATATATATATATATAATCAGCTTTTACATGTCCAATTGAAACGCGATTTCCAGTGGATGTTTAAGATTAAGGCTGTCAGATTAAGGAAGCTTGCAAGTTTGATAATATTTCACGACGTCATTGGAAAGTTACTTCAATATCGATTTCAAAAGAACATTAGTGACGATTTTAAATTCCGAAGTTAATTTTTATGTAAGCATTTGGAAAGATCAGAATCAGCTGAAAGAGTTATTTCTCATACATATTTCATTCAAATAATGAGTCAAAATTAAATAATTAATATATCGAGAATATAATTAATAATTAATATATTATCGAGAATATTATATTAAATTACATATTATACATATTATATATATATAATCATATGGTATATGTTAAAGATTATATATATAATCATATGTTATATGTTAAAGATTTTTTATTTTGTTACATATTATATATATAATCATGTGTCATATGTTAAAGATTTTTTTTTTTTCATTGAAAAAAATTGCAACGTATGATCGTTAGGTACTCTGATATTTACATTTAACAATGTTTAATTTTGTCATGTTTCAAGGTTGACAATTATTTTAATGTTTCACAGAGCTATAAAATTCATGTTCTACTATCAGTATAATCGTACTAGTTGTAGCGTGACTATAGTGCTTTAGGTTCGCATGCATATATTGAACGAAGAATAAAATGTTAATTTGATTCCACAGATTCTCCGATTGACGATAGTATAATAGCAATGAAAAACGTTAAATGAAAAATTTCAGAGCGTCAAAATGTACGGACTAAGTGTAGATAAGATAGTTTCAAGTGTTTGCATGGTCCTTGCCAGCCACGTTAAAACCAACATGGCGTTTACGCAACCTCAAACTCTCTATTCGCTGTCTGGAACATTGCTTCACGTGGTTACGATGAAGTTAACTTGAAAAAACTGGAACGAGTAGAGTTGCGCAATATCCTTCTAAACATTTCACGCTGCTCATATCGTTCAATGGAACATTTAAATAACATGGTACTTGTCTGATAATTCGCGAAAACAAACGACAATTATTAACATGTCTATCTTTCGCGCGAGGCCTATATTGAAATTTATTTTCATTACGTTTATAAATATTTTGCAAAATTCTTTCTTTGTTTGTTCGTATTAAATTTTATTATATTATTATAATATTTTTATTTCTGTTGGAAATGATTTTTTATGATTAGAGGGTATGCAACATTAATTTGCCTTAGGGAACATGTTAATATATAATTGTTTATGAGAAATGTGTTTGTGAAAGGAAAATTACAACGCGGATTACAAAATTTTTACTTTAATTATAGAAACTGAAAACTTAGATATAGAAACTGAATACTTAGATAAGATTTAATTATAGAAACTGAAAAGATTAGACAGATTTAGTTATAGATTTCGATAGATTATACATATAGATACAAACTTCGATAGATTTAGATATAATTATATATATTTAATTATAGAAACTGAAAAGATTAGATAGATTTAGTTATACAAATTTTGATAGATTTAATTATAGAAACTGAAAACTTAGGTATAGAAACTGAAAATTAATTGCATAATAAAAGCAATTTGAAAGAATCTATAGCTGAATTATTCCGAATATAAAAAGATTCAAAGTTCTTTAAGAATTATTATAATCAGCAATTGAAACGTTTTTTTTTCTAGCTTTGTATTAAAAAACTAGAATCTAAATTTCTAATATAAATTATTCAATTTGTCATAACATAAATTCTAGTGCAAATTCATTTTTCACTTTATCATAACATAAGTTGTAATGTAAATCATTCAATTTATCATAACCTAAATTCTAATATAAATTATAATAACAAAATGGAAAAGTACAGTGTGTTGTTAGAGATAAGAGAGTAGTACAAAATTTAAAAGATAGGGGCACATATAATTACGTAACATTGCAATTGCTTTGTGTAGAGTTAATAGAGCATCGATAATCATGTTAGTAAGTTACTAAGCGGCACAGTTAACGGCTGCATGTTAACGATGCATTGACTGTTGACCGACGAACCATCAGAATCCAATGACACTGATAAATATATACGCAAAGAATATAGAATATCAGAGAGAAGCAAGAAACAGAGTCGATGAGTGCAAGAGTCGTGTATAATAACATGATTATGCGTTGCACACAATCGCGCGCTTATTCACCGATTCTCGCGAACACGCGGTGACGTGACCGCATCATGTCGTAGGTGCTGTTCCACGCACGTGTGTGTTCCCATTGCGGGTCCACTTACTTGTCCATTCATGGTGCGGACGTTGCGGTGGAAAATTAGTGTCCATGTGCCTCCAAATTCCTGACTGCTCGCTACGTTCTTTCAAACAGCAATTTTTGGTATATTACTTTTTTTTATAAATTTTAATATTACTTTTTCTTTATAAATTTTAATATTACTTTTTTTTTATAAATTTTAATATTACTTTTTTTTTAAATAAATTTTTTGGTCAATATCAGTATTTTACAATTTTCAGACGGATCTAATTTTTGTTTCTTTGCTATTGGATTACGTCTCTATACTTTTCATGCTGATTATTATGGAAGTTGCGTATTTTAATTTTAATCTTTCGATTCATTTTTTTTTCTTTATCGGGCAATTTCACGCGAATTATATTTGTATACCGTTGATCGTCGCGGAAAATGTTGAAAGTTCGTGTACTTAGCTCTGTAGATTGCAATCGAATTTTCGAATTTACGGAGTTGTGAAAGTTCTTTAGCTTATGATTAAATTGGATAAACTCGCTTAATTATCGTTGAAACAGGGATTTCTATCGATTTACGTGCCTCGTGTGAGAGGTGGAAGAACGCTTTCTAAAGAGCGCTTACAAGGAAACCGCAAGGCTTTCGAGTCTGGGATTCGGCTAAAACTTTGATAGCTTTCGGACAATTAAACTATTTTTATTTATTATATCGTAGAATTCCCGATTTTGTAGAAATCTCCCAATGTTGTAGAAATAAAATAAAAGAATATTTTACTCTACGTTGTTGAAATAAAATTAAAAGTTTATTTAACTTTATTTAAACGAAATAGTTAAAAGAAGTTAAAATAAGATTTAAAAGTCCCAATGCTGCGGTTACAAAGAAAAGATTAAGATTCTCTCTAGATCTACGCTCACTGGCGACTCGATACTTTCTTTTCGAACCGTACTTTCTGATGTTTTGCTACTCTCTCTTGAAATCCTTTACGATCTGCTTTCTTGAAGCCTTCGTCACTCTCGCACACTCATGCACGCAACCCTTAATATTCTAAGCCCTAGACCAGGGCAACTAAATTCTTTGGTCACACTGGAGAAAGTTCCCACAATACTTAATGTATAAAGATGTGTATTCTATTTTTTGTGCTTCGTTTGTTTCTGCAATTGCATTTTTACAGTTATTTCTTATATATAATAACTAATTTTATTTGATCAAAATGATAAATGCATTTACATGTTTTCAATGAACAATATTTTATGGTAATTTTAATTAATCTTTAGTAAATAAATGTAAAGGTACAAGTAAATAATTATTTGTGAATTGAATTAAATCTCAACGATAATATTACTATGGTGTGGTTTGCCTAGATCTCAGTTTACAAAATAATGTTTTGTTTTATTTCTCTCCTTTTATTTCTAATTTTTCAACAGGAGATAATGATTCTGTAAGAGGCATTAAACTTTGGAAAAATTGAAGATCCGACTTTTCATCAATTTTTAGAAATTCAGCATCTACGTCTGTATATTCATGGTTGAATTTTTGCGAGATATCCGATTGATTTAACTGAGACTTTGAAATGGAAAGATCTAATTGGGTAGCTGTACTAGAACTGGAACTAGAACTTTCTTACTATGTAAAATCATTCGTCTCGGTAGTGTCATTATTTCTATCATTAAATTCATGTTTATTGTTAAATAAATTGTATCGTATCACTTTTTGATAAATTGTGTTCACTACGAGAAAGAAGTATATAGTCTTTCATAAATCCAATCATTTCAGAGTAGGGCCATGTAATTGTTTTTGACATTGGATTTATAAGCTGAGAGCTTTTGTGTGTTTTTTCTGTAATTATCCTTTAATCTCCTCCACTTCGATTTTGCAACAACTTTTAAAAATAAAAAAATTGCATTTACTTTTCAAACAGTATATTACAGAGTGGATCTATTAACGACCAAATTATAAATCTGTTCCCACTGAAGATAGAAAAAAATTATAAAAGAAAACTTTGCATTGTGGAATAAGCTCTATTGTATCTATGATTTTTTTTATGAAAGTTCATAGGTGTAATTGCATTAATTTTTTTAAAATTTACTTCATATTCCATGATTTTTCATATCACTCTGAATTAAAAGGTATTAGGACACTCGTGGCTATTTCTGCATCTCAAAGTCATCAATGATTTCTTAAATAAAACCTCATATTTATTTATTTACTTTTGATGTCCTTATGAAGCACAAAAAAATAAAATTCAACATATTTTACTTCAATTCTTGAAAGAAAAATTCTTTAATTTTTTTTATCTTTTTCTTACTTTTACTTTATCTTCGCGTTATTGTTTCACTCTTCCACCCATGCACGACGAAAGGTAACATTAGAATGGTTTTACGAGCAACGTTTATTCGCGAGTTCTACAGAATTATCGATTCATGCTGGTTCGATGGTTACAGCCGAGAATATGGTGAGACTAAGGTGTTAGAGAATTGTAAAAAGTAAACAAAGAGGTCTATATGATGACGATGGACTTGTTAATGCACCGTTAAGGGGTGTGTTCTAACATTCTTCGGATGATCATTGTGGATAGAAGGCCAGCCATCCAGGGAAAAGATTGAATGCGAGTCTGGTTCGAATACCTAGGCGTGTGCACCTTGGTATTATATTTAAATACAGATCTGATCACTCAGATGAACGTATCGCTCGTCGAAAGATTTTTTTTTAATAATGGAGAATTTGTCTGCTATTGTTCTATTTTAAATGGGACATACAGTGCAACTAAATAGAATGCCAGAATAAACTCATTCACATAGTACTGATTTACTGTTGTAAAAAATTCAATACAAAGACCAGAAATGTAGTCTGCTTGACTTTAAAAAATTATTTATTATAAGGGGATAAATTTTATTGTTGCCAGACCCCCCACGAATTAATCGAGAAAATTTGAAATTTAATATTATTAACAAATTTAATAGCTTCCACTAGAAATTAGATATAGAAAAAGTACTTAATTTGCAATAAACGATAGTTTAACAAAACGGGTGTTTATTTTATTCTGATATGGCGCTGTAATTGAAAAATAGAGCAGTCAGTTAGGTTTAGAAACGTAAAAGGATTATTGACAGAATTTTATAATGCACTAATGGCATAACAAACACGATGATAATCTGTATTTTTAAAATATTCACGATATTAAATTAAAACTTGTTAATAGAATATATCATTACTATAACATTATAGATTAATTTACATATTGTCGTATAAATATCATATGATATACATTCAAAAATTGCATAAAAAGATAATTCTTATGACATCGTTGAACACTTTATTCCAATTAAATTACGTATTTTTTCTAATTACATATTCTTTTGGTTCTGTTTTTTTTGTTTTTTTTTTTTTTGAGAATGTTGATACGTATCTAAATATTCTCTGCTGAGTGTACAGAGTCCATTAAGACGAACAGAAATGTATCTTTTCGTATGCGTTTCTCAAACCACTCAAAGCAGTAAATCGTGCTCTCCACGGTATCACATCCATACATTACCGGTCGAATACCATAGATCAGTATTGTCCGAGCTAAGCTTCAAAGCTTAGAGATTAGTTGTGAGCTGATTCTTGGTTGGGGCGGTGACCTTGAGGTCAATCGATTTTGGATCAAGAACAATTGGGCGTTAGATTGAATCGGTATCCGATAGCTTTGATATTTACTTAGAATTATATTGTAAATAACGATTCTTCCTGGGTGTAACGAAATTAATTTAAACCAATTTCATACTGCAGTTGGAGAGATCTTGGAAATTGGAGATATTAGAAATTTACGATCTTCTTAATTTCGGAGTTTGGGAATTCGGGGATAAGAGGATCTGGAAACGGGGATTCAGATATTCAGGAACTTGGCCGCTTTAATAATCTAGAAACTTGACAATTCTGAAATTTAGGAGCTCCGGAAGTCAAAAATCGAAAGACTCGGTTATTTGGCGATTTGGGGATCGAGGAATTGAAGTACTCGAGGTCTTTGGAATTTGGGATTCCCAAGCTGGGAATTCGAGCGCACGAATAATCACGAATTCAACAACTCGAAGTTTAAAAGTTCCAAAGTTCGTAAATTTAGAATGTAGGTTAAAAATTTTAAAGTTGGAAAATTAAAAATAATTTAGCAGATATTCAAGAGGATGCAAGAATGCCGAAGCTCTCGAATTCTTTCATGCAATTCCCTCTAGATTCTGATTTACGTTACTTATCTTTATTCAATATTAATTGCAATATATTCCTGTACAATCCCTTTAGCCACTTGCCCTGGCAACCGATTGCGGACCATAACGAGCGACCAAACCGTACACAATAATTCGTCGCTTTCTTTTTTGAACACGTCGCTATAAGAAGTAACAAAATTTATTATTTGCCTGTGTATTTGGTTGTACTTAAATATATTTAAAACTAGAAGAAAACATTGCAATTCTCGACGTGCGTAGCAAGAGGTAAAGAAACCACAACGTATGATTTTGTATATTTCCAATTCCCTTACATCCAAATTAAAAGAATCCTCTCAACAATTTCCTCAAAAATCTACCTCGCCAATTCACTCGTGCCTCAATGAAAAAAATTCGCGAGAAGATGATTGATCCATGAAATTTTTCAGGGCCGAGCAACGTGCCGCGTTGTTGGAGCTGGCTCGTCGAGAGAAGCAAGAAGAGCAGACGGGAGAGGCGTGTTGGTTGCGGCAGGTCGCAAGGAACAGGTCTTAAGATGGCCTACATTATCCGGCCTTATCGGTGAGAGAAGCGGCACAGCGTTTCGGTCGAAGAAGAAACAGGGTGAGGAGCACGTGGCGGGAGAAGCGGTCGAGATAATAGCTGGACAGGAAGAAAAATGGGGCAGGCTTGGTGCAAGGAGAAGACCACGAAGGCTCAGGATTCCAAGTCCCCTTTGGATCGAGTTTTCGTGCGTTGCATGCATCGGGTATGTGAATAAATATTTTCCCATTTGTAACGATCTGATTCTTGGTATACTCGTTCGTTGGGCCAGCTGTATGATGAATCGACGAATGATTTAATTGAACGGAAACGTAGGGCATGGATAAAATGAGATGAACTATAAAGAGTGGATCCAGAGAAAAATATTAGCTTCAGTTTGTTTTGTTTCTGTTTTTTTTTTTTTTAATATATAGAGAGAATACGCAGGATGTTTTGTAATATGGCTCGTTTTAATGATGGATATAGAAACAAACGAAAATTATTTATGCGAGCATGCATCCTAGTTTGTCGTGTTTTTGAATTGCTGGTATTTTTGTATTCCAGAAATTTTAGTGATATTAGAGAGATGGTTCAGTAATAAGAATATTTAATTTGTATTTTTTTAATAAGAATAATCATTATATTTTGTTACTATTAAATTGAGGAATACGTTGGAAAATGAGTTACAATTATGATTATATACGCATATCATATGATCATAAAAAATATTTATATCAAGTGTTCGAATATTCTTGTGAGGATGCTTTATAAAGTTATAAGCAGAAACATCATACATCTACATTTTATTATTAATATTATTGTTTAAAGCTCTTAAAATCAATTCTTTTCATTAACAACGCATTTTGTACGATTCTTTTTTTCCAGTATTTATTGTACCTACATGTGTATGCACTACATACAGTATACATATGTAACAGTGTGTTTGGTAAAATGATAATATAATTTTAGCAATAATGCAAGCAGATGAGGCAAAAATAGGAAATAAAATAGAAAACAAAATTGATCGTTATACTATTAATATTATTGTTTAAAGCTCTTAACATCAATTCTTTTTATTAACAACGCATTTTGCACGATTCTTTTTATTCAGTATTTATTGTACCTACATGTGTATGCACTACATACAGTATACATATGTAACAGTGTGTTTGGTAAAATGATAACATAATTTTAGCAATAATGCAAGCAGATGAGGCAAAAATAGGAAATAAAATAGAAAACAAAATTGATCGTTATACTATTAATATTATTGTTTAAAGCTCTTAACATCAATTCTTTTTATTAACAACGCATTTTGCACGATTCTTTTTATTCAGTATTTATTGTACCTACATGTGTATGCACTACATACAGTATACATATGTAACAGTGTGTTTGGTAAAATGATAACATAATTTTAGCAATAATGCAAGCAGATGAGGCAAAAATAGGAAATAAAATAGAAAACAAAATTGATCGTTATACTATTAATATTATTGTTTAAAGCTCTTAACATCAATTCTTTTTATTAACAACGCATTTTGCACGATTCTTTTTTTTCAGTATTTATTGTACCTACATGTGTATGCACTACATACAGTATACATATGTAACAGTGTGTTTGGTAAAATGATAATATAATTTTAGCAATAATGCAAGCAGATGAGGCAAAAATAGGAAATAAAATAGAAAACAAAATTGATCGTTACAGACATTGATTAAATTGCACAACTTTCGGATTATTGATTCGAATTTTTTGCAATCGTGACACACGGCGTTTGCAGCCACGGATGAACATAACAACTCGTTGCGACTTTTTGCCAGTAGGCTCGTCACGTGGCTGCATGTATACTCCATCCGACAAGGAGGGACCCCGTCACTCGGTTAATTAGCAATTACACACATATCTGCGTGTCTGGGATTCCAAATTAGAGCGGTGTACCCGCGTCCGATGCACCATGCATGATGAATCCATGTCACGCGCGTGCACGCGCCAGTGTGTCCGGCGCTGCTGCTACACCGGCGATAATCAGTTATTTAAATTCCCAATACCCGTGAAGCATCCACGTTACAAACTAGTTTTCGAGTAATCTCTCGTTCCGCGATCCATCGTCGACGGATTATCAAACGATAAAGTCATTAAACGCGACAGAAGGATAGGTCGTCTATCCTGGATCATCAGCGAACCTTTGCGAACGCTTCAAGTTTCTGCTGCTGAATCAAATTTCTTTTACGGCTGTTTTAAAGTAATATCGTGCCGAACGAGAGCAGACTATCGCGTATCATCTCGAGTAGAATCCAATTAATCGAAACACTCGTTTCGATTCCGATGATTTGAAATTAAATTTATTTTCGGTTGCAATTTGAAGAAATTTTCTTCCACGAGGAGGTGTTTAAGCCGTTTTCAAATGGGGGCGCTAAAGTTTTCATGAAGATGGTTCCGGAAATGTATCTTTGTGCAGAGAGAGAGAGAGAGAGAGAGAGAGAGATTATTTCGTATATGCATCGTTATTTGGCGAAAGAACCAGAGAGAGATCTCGAGATGATAGTAGTAATTATTGGCTTCAAAAATGCAGATTGAACGTTCTACGAAGATTCTCCGATGCTAGAATTAGTACGTACAGATGAAAGATCACATATGTGTATATATTTCCATATATCCAAATAACACAAATAACATCCGTTGCACATACTAGCGATTAAGACTCCAATGCAGAAATAACGAGTAACGTTAACGAGCCAATGAGCGTGACGATACCACTCTCGTTGCATAATCGATCGTGTAACGTACAGTGAACACGCGGTACAGTTCGATGGACAAAGTCTGAACGAAAAACTGATTAATTATCTCCTTTGGTGTCGCTTTGATTAGCACAACGCCAAGAAAAAGCGTCTCGGCTTTCCTTTCCTTTCTCCTCATTTGTATCTTTTCTTTTTATTTCTTTTTTTTTGTTTATTTCTCGCATGCATAAACGTCCGGNTTTCACCACCGATTCCGCGAACCGGTATGATGCTTTTCTCGCGGCGGTTACGTGAAACACAATTCATGTACGCTTTACACAGTCCAGTGGCTGTTTCACGCGCGGCTCGTTTCGATTGAATCTCGTTCCGTTCGCCATTTCTTTTTGCGTGCGCGTGCACACCGCGCGCCAGGAATAATAATGATACAACACCGCGTTTTTACTCGGATCAATCCCCCCCCCCCCCCCCCCCCCCTTTCCGCGTTCCTTTGTCTGGAATTAGAACGGAATTTTTATTTGCACTTTGCTTCGCAGTTCCACTTCCCTCCCGCGTGTTCATGTAAATATCTCGTCGTTTATCTCGATCGTTCGTTCGCGAAAATTATTCAGGAGACGCAAATGTTTGCTCTGATGATTTTTCTGTCCGTTGTTGTTGCTCGATGAATGCAACTTGTTCATACAATCCGGTATATGGAAATATGTAAAAGATAATACTCATTTTCACTATACGCAGGCTATTGCGAGTTGAAGTGTGTCAAAACTGAGGGGAAACGTTCTTTGAAGATTTGTTAGTTTGCAATTTTTTTTTTGACGAAAATCAGACGAAAGGAGAAACAGAAAAGGGGCTTATTTATTCTAAAGCGCTTATTAGATGTTGTCATCTGTTTTATCATTCGTATTGATTTTATCATACGTTATCATTTATGTCGTCTGTTTAATGAAGATACCGTTGAAAAGGTCATTTGAAGCAATGCAAGGTTTGATCGCTGTTTCACTTGAGTTGATTGGAATCGAATAAATTTATTGATTAGATAAGTAAGCAGATCAAAACATTGATCTTTTTTTTATGATTTTCTCTAAAATGGAGCAAAAACTCTTGAGAACTTTTTTCCTTAGTTTATCAATCCTGTCTATGTTCCCAAACTTTTGAAATTCAAATTCGGCACACCCTGTATAGACGTATAAATATAACATATTATCTCTCACTGATGGAGAGGTCACGCGTAATTTAATTATACTTTAGTTTTAGATATTTAGTTATCAGATATTTTAGTTTTAGATATTTTATTATACAATATTTCGTGTATTACTTTTATTTTTCATGCAAAATGTTCAAAGTCTTTCAAATTTGGTATTTTAAGATACAATTACCTCAATATCTAATTTTTAATAAAAATTGAAAAATGCGTCAATTGATTTGAAAGAAATATAAGGTTCTCTTATATTAAAAAATATACTAGTAATTTATTTTGAAAATATACTAATAACAATGCTGGAAAATATATTAATAATAATAACGTAATTTGATAATAAACGACGCGTGTTCTGTGAAATAGTGCAATTGTTCTGGAAAATGTTAAATAATATGACATCAATAATAAATTAAATAGTATAAATATTTATGTAGTATCATTTTACTTTTAAATTGATGAAAATGACAGAAGGTTCGATCAGTCTCAAAGGTGTCTCAAAGAAATACAGATGGAATTTTGAAAATATACTAATAATAATGCTGGAAATATATTAACAATAATCATGTAACAATATAATTTAATAATAAACGACGCGTGTTCTGTGAAATAGTGCGATTGTTCTGGAAAATGTTAAATAATATGACATGAATAATAAATTAAATAATATAAATATTTATGTAGTATCATTTTACTTTTAAATTGATGAAAATGACAGAAGGTTCGATCAGTCTCGAAGGTGTCTCAAAGAAATACAGATGGAATTTCGTAATTTTCTTTTCTTGAAATCTGTTCTATTTGTCTCGAAGAAGAAACGAAAGATCTCGTGGCGGAAACCGAGTTGGAAAGTAATCGGTGAAAAACTCTTCGAGAAACGAAAAGAAGCGCGGTAATTTTCAGAACACAATGAGCCTTTTGATCGCTAAAGGCAGGTTATCTCATCGTTTAAAGCTCACGTAATGCACGCCACGGGTTGTCTGCCTATAGTCGCGATACTTGGTAATTACTTTCCCCTAGAAAACGTTAAACTTCCATTACGATAGCATTGTTTCTCTGATATTTTTCCACCTTTGTCTCGGCTCTTTGCGAAACAGGCCACGACCATCGTAACGCTGTACAGCAAAATGGAAACAAATAAAGTAATTTCCTGTTACAAAAGCAAAATGTTCTTCCGCAGAGTGATTTATTTATTATTTATTTAAATTCAGCACGCGAACGTGTAAGTGACATTTGTCCGTTCGAATTTCTCGAGTCATTTTTTTTCTTTTCTATTGAATAATAATTTTTTAAATAAT